CAAGTAGTAGGTTGTGATCTACTTTATCAAATGCCTTACTGAAGTCCCAGTAAATTATATCCACAGCATTCCTCTGATCCACTAATTTTGTCACTTGGTTAAAGAATGCAATAAGATTTGTCTGGCATGATCTATTTTTGACAAACCCGTGTTGGCTTTTGGTAATGACCTTGTTTGCCGGTAGGTGTTCGCTGATTATCTTTCCCAGAATCTTCCCAGGTATTGAAGTCAGGCTGATAGGTCTGTAATTTCCTGGATCCATTTTTTCCCTTTTTTGAAGATGGGAACTACATCAGCTCTTTTCTAGTCCTCTGGTAGTTCCCCAGTGGTCCAGGATCTTTGAAAAATATAGTTCAGTGGTTCTGAGATCACATCTGCCAGTTCCTTGAGAACCTTGGAGTGTAATCCATCTGGTCCTGGTGATTTGAACTCATCTAAGCTGGACAGGTGCTCACCATTTTCTTGCCTATCTTAACTTGTGTTTCTATTCAGTTTTTTATGGCACTATTTTTGATAGGTTGGGCTGTTTTTTCCCTTTGTGTAAAGACAGATGCAAAAAATGAGTTAAATAGTTCTGCTTTCTCCCTGTTGCTTGTCACCTTCTTGCCACTTTCCCCCACTAATGGACTAATCATTTCCTTAACTTTTTTCTTGTTTTTTACATGTTGAAAGAAGCTTTTTTTTTTTTAGTCTTTTTGACTTTGGTCGCAAGCCTTAGTTCATTTTGAGCCTTAGCTTTCCTCACTTCATCTTTGCAGGCTCGGGTTATTTGCTAATATTCTGCTTTGTTGGTATTGTGCTAGACTGGGCTTTTATTATCTCACCTTTCAAAATTTCCCAAGCTTCTTGAGTTGTTTTCCCCTTGAGGATTCTTATTCATGGAATCCTTCCCAAGCCCTTTCTAAGTTTGTTGAAATTAGCTCTTTTAAAGTCCAAGACTCTAGTTTGACTGTGTTCTATTGCTTGTGCTTCCATAATGTTGAATTCCAATATTGCATGATCACTTCCCCCCAAGGTTCTTGTGGCTTGAACACCTTCTATCATTTCATCTCTGTTAGTGAGAATTAGATCCAATATGGCTAATCCTCTAGTTCCCTTCTCTACTTTTTGGGAGACAAAGTTGTCTGCTAGGTTTGTCAGGAATCTGTTTGTCTCCCAGTTGATGTCAGAATAATTAAAGTCCTCCATTACTATTGTGGTGTGCTTCCTACATACCTTAGTTAGCTGGCTAGCAAAAAGTTCATCTATTTCCTCTGTCTGGTTGGGTGGCCTATAGTATATACCTATGGCAATGTCATTCCCCCCCCCTTTTATATTGACCCAAATGCATTCAAGACAGTTTTCATCATTGTTGTGCTCTATTTCTGTAGAGATGTAGTTATTTCTTATATAGGAATGGGAAGGTTGGATGGAGAATAAAAAAGAAAGGAAGATTTATTTATAACTTAGAAGTATAAAGGTGCCCTGCTGAGGACAGACTCTGGATAGCATACAATTGAACCAATATGACGTTTAAAAATAGGAAAAAGAAATACATAGAATGATATTACTTTGGACATAATAGGGAAAAATATGCCACAGCCAAGACAAACTTACACACCAGTGGGTATGAGAAGAATCTATCCCAGAGCTTGGGGAAGGAGCCAAGTTTTTAAATATCATCTGAACATGAGTAGGCAGTCCAAACCCTCCCAGGGAGATATTGTTCCAAAGAGCAGGTGCCGCAACAGAATTTTGAGTGGGAAGTAAATACAGTCCGTTCTCAGGCAATTCCTTTCCCCCCCCATATATTTTATTGATTTTTTAAAACATAAATCACTTAATAGTTGGTAAACAGCATGTTTGCTGGGTTTACATTGGTAAAGAAAAATCATTAACAATTGGTTTCTATAATCCATAATCCACATAGTACATTTAGTTGATTTCCCCTTTTCCCCAAAATGTCTTCTTTGCAAACCTTGAAATAATACAGTTCTTATTATTTTGATAAATAACAGTTACATATATGATTTTTTCCCAATAGTCCTAGAAATAATGATCACATCAATATAATATTTCTTTTCTATCTAATCATTCTGGTTGCCTCATCTTATATCCTGTTACAGTCCTTATTTAGATTTGTTTCTCCCATAAAGTTCAAAATCTGGTTAAGATTTTCTCAACAGTTAATTACATTTAAAGATTTAAATCCATTTTTCCCATATAAACCATCTCAACACTTTTACATTTCTTAAAGAATAGGTAAAAACAGTAAAGAAAAGGAAAAGAGAGCAAGAGTAAAGAAACATATAAAGTAAAATACTACTTAAAATATATATTCCTCCTAAGCCACGGGTAGGCAACCTTGGCTCTTTTATGACTCGTGGTCTTCAACTCCCACGAGTTCCTGCTGGCTCAGGAATTCTGGGAGTTGAAGTCCACGAGTCATAAAAGAGCCAAGGTTGCCTACCCCTGTCCTAAGCTAATATATATTCATTCCCAAAATTTCTTATTCTTTTTAACCATGATTAAAAATATATTTAATCTTTAAATATTCCGTTTAATGTGCCTAGTTATCTAATCCTTTAACTCTTATTCAAAACATTTTTTCTTTTTTATATATTATAATTTCTCTAAATTCAGACACATTTAATTATCTAAAACATTTCCTTCATCTAGGCCATTTCAGCAGTATTATATTACTTATATCAAGAAATAAAATAAAAAAGGGGGGGGAAGCATACAGTATTATTTAAAGAATTAATCTCTCTTAGAATGACATAAGTATTCAGAATCTTTTCTAGTTCTTTAACCATATTCAAACAAATGTTTCTTTTCCAAATATTCTCTCTGGTAGATCCCATCATCTATTTCCTTAATTTTCACTTTGATCTTTTTCCTTTGACCAGTATCTTTCTTGATCAATGTGTTTTGCTGAATCAAAAAGTTTTTCCATATATTCATGACTGTTGCTGTAGGTATAAGAGGAAAACCAAAAAAAGTGTCTTTATGTGAGGCTTTTGCCTTTCCATGTTTCTTGAAAATGTTTTTCTCTTTCTCCTTTTTTGCTTCTCTTATCACTTCCTTTCTCTCTGAAGTTTTCAACATCTCTACATTCCATTTTATCCAATCTGTTTTTTGTTCTCAGATTTATTTTGTAGTCTTAAGAAATGAGCTGTTTTTTCCATTTCTTGTAAATTTTTCCCCACTAGGATTAAATCATGTTTTCTTGCTTTGTTAAGTTCTGTTTTTGAGTCTCTATTTTCAATTTTATGTCCATTTATTTGTTTTGTCTGCTCCTTCTCTGTTGTTTCCTGAAAGTTTTTTTTTGTTGTAAAGTTAACTTAGAGATAGATTGATTTGTATTTTCAAAGTTATTTTCGATTTCTTTGTAATTTGAACTCAGTGTTATTTGAATTAATTGCAGTATACTATATATCTCCTCCTATTTATGTTTCCTTGGTGTGTTCTGTCTACATGTCTCTGATCCATGATGACCAAAAGTTGGAGTTTTCCTTCTTATCTGCAAATAGCTTTAGAGTCCCAGTTAAATAGATATTTATCATCCAAAGAGTTCAAAAAAGATTTTTTTCTAAAGTTTATAATTCTCTCTTTATCTGCAGCCCAGATTGTTGTCTTTTTTTTGTCACAGCTGTTCTTTATTATTAAAGTTTTGAAGCTCACAAACACAGATTAGCTTTTCCCAGGTTTTGGCAAGTTCTCTATGGAAATCATAGCTGTCATAATCTTCATCCACCATTAGGTGTCAGCATCTATTTAGTTTTCAATATGAACAATGGTTTTTAAAATGAGAGTCTTAACCATTCAACAATTTCAAACTTGCCCAAAGTTAAATTTTAGCTTTCAAGTTTATAAATTTATTTCACTACCATATATTTTGATCCTCCATAGAAATTTTAATTCACTGCTTCCATTAGTATAAGGATGGGGTGGAGGTCCCCCTCCTTCACTTTTGGAGGTATTTTGTTTCTTGGGGATCTTTTCCAGGAAATTAAGTGTAGAATAGAAAAGGGAAAATCAGATTCCTCACCCAGTTTCAAGCACGCTGTTTACTGTAGTGTTGGTTAGTTCTTTTGGACTCCAGTTGCAAGTAGCTTGGGCTGATCGATGTAATACAGCCTTTCTCCTATTGGGTTATAAGGCTTTCCCCAAGATGAATGGAACGACCACCATCATTCCAGAGTCGCCAGGGCACCCTTCTTTCTTCGCCACCTCTCTGGGGCGGCTTGGACCCATTAGGGCAGTGGTGGCGAACCTATGGCATGGGTGCCAGAGGTGGCACTTGGAGCCCTCTCTGTGGGCACATGTGCCATTGCCCCAGCCTTGCCTCCCATCATGACCCTCTCCTCTCCAGCAGCCGCCTAAAGGAGAGTCGCTCTCGAGCGTGTCCCACACGGAGCAGCGCAGCCAAGGACATGGCAGCCAGGCAGTGTAGACAAGACTCTGCCCTCACACCCCATCATGCAGTTGATGCTGCAGGGTGCGGGCAGAGAGTGTGGCCACCATAGCGCTGCTGGGCTGCCTGGGCGATCTGCGGCGGGCCCTGGAGGTGGTGAGTGGTCCTGTGAGCAGGCGGGGCAGGGGATGGGGGGCAGAGCCGGGGTGGGGAAGGGGGTGGAGCAGGGGTGGGGCCAGTTTTTGGGCACTCGGTCTCTAAAAGGTTCGCCATCACTGCATTAGGATCTCCAGGCAGGACGAAAATTGGCCACGGGGGTGTGGCGGTCTGCAAGCCTACGACCAGTCGCTACCACGCAGGACCGGAAGTCCTGTTCTCAGGCAATTCCTTCTTTCTCAAGTTTGATACAGATGGAGATGGAACTATCAGCAGTTTTGAACTGCGCCAGGCTGTGACTGCCCTCTTAGGTGAGCAACTCAATGCCCAGGAGTTGGACGAGATCCTGCAAGATGTAGATCTCAATGGAGATGGAAAAGTGGACTTTGATGGTGAGAAAAGTCAGCACATGTTTTGTTAACTTCTTTCCCCTTAAATACTGCATTCTGAAAGGCAGGATCTGTTTTCTAGAAATGAAACACTATGTCAGAGGGATTTGGTTTTTTTAAAATACCGAATAGGTGCATCACAAATAGTGCAGGACAGCATTGGCTGGCTTGTTTAAGAATGCCTACCAATAGAAGAAATAATCTAGAAAAGCTGCAGGTTTCCAGAAATGGATAGCACTGCAGTTGTAAGTTCCAGTAGGAGCCATACAGTAATCATGTTTTCAAATTTATCTATGAAAACATGCACAAGTTTGAACCAGAACTCTTTCATTTCAATGCATTTAATGTAGATTAAGAAAACAGGATTCTTTGCTACTCATTACTTCTTTAAAGGAAGCAGAAATTGTTTCCCCCTGAAGCTTTGTATGGTCTGTAGTCAACTTTGTAACTACTAGTTATCAGAGAATATGGGTCAATTTCAAAATTCATGGTTGGATAAGGTTGACTACCTTCTTTGATCATTGTTTGTATATAAGTAGCAGCACCTTTTCCATGGAACATAAACTAGAACTGCAACTCTGAAACATATTGTTATCACTAAAACATGCAGGTGTTTTAAGGACTTATCATAAATACAGTCAGGGCAAGATGAATTTTGGTAGGGAGGAGGGAATTTTATCCGGAAACTAGATTAACACTTCCACAATATAGTCCATTCCATACATGAGGGAGTTATCACACTGATATGATGTAATGCCTGTTGTGATTTTCCCAAGGACTAGGATGCAACTATGATGGTTTATAACACTCTCTTCCTAAGGCCCATTCACCCTTTTGAACTTTGTCCCTTGCCTCATTCTTACCAGAAAGCTATGTATGTTTATGTCTCCCTCTGAGAGGGAGACATTGATTAAGAAGATGAGAACCCCTCAGAAATATGATTGATCTGACTTTTCCTGTCTCTTTCAGAGTTTGTGATGATGCTGTCATCCATGTAACAAGAACCAGAGGAGAAGGAATGGGGATGTCTTTATTTCCAGAATTACCTTGCTCAGTAATGGGAAGGAATTGGTTTCTGCTACTAGTTTTTTTTCACTTGCTGGAGATAGGAACATCACAATAGGAGGTGAAATTCTCTTTCCCCAAGTCTGGATCCAAAGCTGCAAAGTACCTCAGGGAGCAGGTGCTCACTGTGTGTGCAGGAAGATTTTGAGTTTTGAGGCAAAATGGCTGGCCTGAGCCTAGAGAACTCACCTGGCACCATCTTTGTTTGTTAGGAACAGAAAGCACTTCAGGGCCCATACCAGTGTGGCTAGGCCTGACAAATTCTGTCCAGGTATTGGAGCCATACCCAGGTGTACTTTGATTTCCTCTGACATTTCCCCCCCCCCCATCAGCTCAAAATTCCTGGAGACTTAAAATAAACTGTTTGAAGTTAATAGTTCATTCATCCAAAGATATTCTGTTGAGCTGAATGGTAATTTTTTTTTTAATCCCCTCAGAGCAAAATGAATAAATGAATGACAAGCCTCTTCCCAGATATTTTAAAATAAAGGCAAAGAGATTCCTGGATCTCATTCATGAAGATTCTTCACTGGAAACTGTAAGGATATGTGTCCTATTTCGGTACACTGGTTAAACAAAAATAATATCAGCTTTGGATTTGTAAACAAAGCTATCATAATTCCAAAGAGCAATCCCTGAAATGCTTCCCATGAATTCAGTGTCAATTTGAAATTTGGAAAAAAGTTAAAGATCACTATATGCAGCCATAAATATATTTATTTTCTTTTGACAATTGCATAAATATTAGATATATGTATGTTTATGTATATGCAAAAGCAGAGTCAGACTCTGGCTGTGTTACTGAACAACTGCAGTGTTACATATTGATATGGTATAAAGCATAATTGAAATATTTGTATTTTGTTTTTCTGAAGTTCATGTGTTAAATCTAGATAGCTGGTGATAATTAAAATTCACAATATTAGATCACAGATGAAATCAAAATGTAATAGTATGACACATATGGCAGACAGAACAAAGTCTTAGTTAAAATCACTTCAGCCTGACAAATTGAAAGCCTGCTTCATACGTTAAAAAATATTCTCAAATTTACAAAAAGAAATTGAGGATGAGGTCTTCAGAATTTCACTTTCCAAAACAGTGGTGTGTCTACAAAGAATGTTCTTTGTCTAACCAATTGATCCTGCACCATGGACAGGAACATAAAAAGCCAGCTCAGCTTGATTTTAATGGGTAGGCAGACTAGTGTGACAAGAGCTTCTATTTGGGATCTTTGATTTAGCTAGGACAGATATGTCAAATACAAGGCCTGGGGGCCAGATGTGGCCCGCGAAGTGGTTTCATGTGGCCCGCAAAGCCATCCTGGAAACAGTGAGGGAACGGCCCCCACTGCCTTGGCCCTGGCCCAGGCCAGCCGGGAGCCAATGTACAATTTTGTGGTGGCCATCTATGCTGAAATGCATTCAGTCTTAGCTCCACAAGGCTGTCTGGAAATAGCAAGGAACCAGCCCCTGCCGCGTCGGCCCCGCCCCCTGGATGCATGCTGGGGAGGTGTCACCCTTTGTGAGGAAAGAAGAAATGCACCATCGCCTGAAAGTGGCCAGCAAGTGGCCCTCGTCTACTTCACATATCCGGCTTGATGGGCTCTGGGAGAGGGGTTTCGGCAGGAAGCTGGGTGCTCTCCTCACAGTGCCAAGAGACTGAGCTGGGTGGCGCGAATCTGATGAGAAGTGCAATGCTGCCTAGCCCCCAGCCTGCCCAGTTTCAGCAGGCAGCAAGGTGCAAGGCTGGCGATCTTTGCACAGCCCGGCTCAACCTCTCAACTGAGCAGGCTGGGGGCTGGGCGGCATTGTGCAGGTAACGTTGACTCTCACGCTGCTCATGGCATCCCCTCCCCCAGAGCCCACCAAGCCAGATATGTGAAGTAGGTGAGGGCCATGTGCTGGCCACTTCTAGGCGATGGTGCATTTCTTCATTCCTCACGAAGGATGACACTTCCCCAGCTGCATTTCTTGCCTGTTTTTCTCCCTCCCTCATCTCAAATATTTTCCCACCGCTCTGTACTTAGGAAGGAAGGAAGGAAAGAAGGAGAGGGAGGGTCTGAGGGAAGTCCTGCCTTAGTCCTGCCCTGCTGCCCTTTCACCATCCCCTTGCCCCCTCCTCCTGGCCTATCCTGGGGGTCTCCCATCCTATTGCTAAGGAAACTTTGGATACAAAGCCGGGTCTCCTCCCATGGAGAGGGAATGGGCCTCCCTCTGACTTTGCCCTCGTACCCATCATGAGCAACCTGGGTAAGGAGAGCAAGCACAGTAGCAGCAGCCTTGAGGAGGAGGTAAGTGCAGCTAGGTGCCTCCTTGGGGAAGTGGGGCTGGGCTTGGTGCCATGGGTGCTTGAGGGCAAGGCTGGTGTTTGACCTCTGCTGTCCAGGGCTCCGGGCAGCCCGCGCCACCATCCAGCCCCCCCCGCATGGCCTGAGAGGAACAGTGAGGCTCCTCCAGTGGACCATGCCTTGGCACCTGCCCTGGTCCCACCCCCTTCTGCCAGAGACCCTCAGATCTGTCCCACTCCTGCCCAGGCCCCCACAGGCACCCTTGACGCGAATGATGTAGAGCTGGCCACGCCCACCCAGTAGGCCATACCCACCCGGGCCCCCGAGGGTAACCGCAATGCTAATGCGGCCCTCAGTAAAATTGAGTTTGACACCCCAGAGCTATGACATTATAGGTAATCATCAACAATTGTAATTACACCCGTAAATATTTAATAACTAAAAGGCGTATGGCAGGATAGAAGTAATAGGATCCCACAGGTAAACACCCATAACTTCTTTGTACCAGCTGAAGCTTTTGAAAACCCTTCCAGTGATATTTCATGCTAAATGTAGTATTCAAATCTAGCAATAACTAAGATACATTGAGTCAGTTCTCCTCAGGACTGGGCACAGCATTCCAAACTAGATTTCTTGGTCTAGATTTCTTGGTTTCTTTGCTCCTTTGCCTCAGGAAACAATTTCCCCAAAACAAATAGCATCCCTTATCATCTAATCAATCTAGCAGTCAAAGAAAACTTGGCCAAAACAAATGGAATGTGTAGCTTGGCTATGGGTAGAAGACTAACCACAAACATTGTTTCATGCAGGAAAAATGTCCTGTTTCTCTGTTCTCTCTGTCATGCAACAGACAGGAACAGATTAAAGCATCAAATACAACTCCAGAAAAGCAGTTTCCACAGGTACCTCCCATTTCACCTTGCATGCCTCCTCCTTGCCTGTGATTTCTTAGCATCTTTTTTTTTGAGAGCATTTTTTCTAAAAAAATAAATAAATAGTTAAACCCACATTCAGAAAAAAGCTCAGGCAGTAGATGTAGTGTCTCTGTGTTTGGGAGACCTTAGTTCGACTATTGAGAGGTAGCCAAACCTGTTATTCAAAGCACCCATCTATGCTTGCTCAATCTCCCCACCACATCATGATAGGGAGGGAATGAGATTGATACTTGGTTTTTCCCCACCAGCAGGGTCTAAGCAGGAAGGGAAACCAAGCCACGGGGTTCCACCATTCACTTTACTTAACGTTCCACATTGAAACTACAAGGACAGATCCACACGTCAGGCTCATTATTGGAGCAGAATAAGACTTGACCATGGGTGAAACAGGACTAGATTAATTGTACTTTATTGTAAGGCTGCATTAACAGAATCTTGCAAGTCTGAAAGTACAAATTTCCCACCCATCACTTTTAACTGCCTGATCCAATAAGACAGATCCTTTCTCGGTTTCATTTTGTGACCATTAAGTGATTGCTGGCTCCTTGCCCCTCTTACCTGTTTCTTTTCTAGGCAGCATTTCTCCTTCTCTTTCCTCAAGATCACTAATGCATTCCAATATGGTCAGTGAATGACAGAAAGTTGATTAATCTTTGGGGAATCTCTACAGAGCTCCACACCAATCCCTAATCCTGAAGGCTAATGGCAAGACAGCGTTATCCAGGGTTCAATCATCAGCCACCTACAAGAACGGCCTTGAATTGTCTTTATCAGCTGTGTGTGGTTATTTGTGTCATTTATCTATTATTGTTATGATTATTTTTCATAGTACTATTACTAAAATAATATTTATTAGTTTCATATAATAAATATTTGGGGGTCAATGAACAAACTGAAATGGCATGAAGAGGTTATGCAACTGAAGAGTTTGGGATCCCTGGCCTAGATGATTTAGATCTGAGAGACAATATTTTTGCCAGAGTACACTGGCTTATCCAATTTATCAAGTTTGCTGCACGTGCATCAAAAGATTATCCTAGAAATGAGGTGGAGTAAGCACCAATCTTGCACAAAAGAATCAAATAAAACCTCAAGGACTGTCAGGCCCCAAAACCAAGAATGACACATAGTGATTCCTCCAAGCTGAGTTCTTTATTGTTTCCACACCTATCCGCAGAATATTACCAGACTAAGCACACTACTATTTGCATCTGCCATATACTCAGAGAACTATTAGGGAGGGGCTGTCTTCACCCTCTTTTTCTCACACAAAATATCTGGACTGAATTGTCTCTTATTCCTCCAAAATGCACTCCTCCCTCTTGGGACTCCTCACTACATTCCATCACAAGGGCACATCATTGGGAGATAATTATTGCATCAAGCAATAAACTAAGGAGTGATTATCATCATTTGTTTGTTACATGGACTAAGCCATGCATAATTTCTTTCATTATGTATCGTCAATTTGGTGTCGATTCTTAGTGACCACATAATTTTTCTCCAGCATCACTGATTGTTAGAATGTGTACAACACAGAGGTTTCAACTGCCTTTGATTATTCACCAACTCATCGTATTTAAAATGTCTTCTGCAGTGCCGGTTGTGTAAATGTTTCCTTTTTTGTCTTCCAAAAGGCTATTTTCTTCTCATAGTAGGCTGCTTCATTGATGAAGACTGGGAAGAAGGTGTCATCACCATCATGCAGAATATCCTCCCCATCCAAATTCTGGAAAACTGGGTCCCCAGGCTTCAGGGGCTGGAAATCTTTATCCTAAGGGAGATTATTTGATTTGATACCAAGAACAAAATAGCCGGAAGGTTTTCACAAAGCAAGCCTTTCTATTCCCCTTGTGTAGTAGCCTCTGATGAGCTGGAAACAGCCCTTGCAAGAGATGAAACTGTTGTAATGAGCATTGTCACTGTTGGATGATTAATTGCAGACTTCCTTGGAGTCTGATGTGTTATTATCCTACACTCTCTATCCCACTCAAGTAGACAACTTGATGATCAGAGAACCCAAGGTCGGGAAAAGGACATTCTGACAAAGAGAAATTTCCCTCGGTCTTGCAATGTTATGGCACACTTAGCAAAGTTCACGGTTTCGCATGCTTATTAAACTCCAGTTCCCTAGCACAATGTTTCCACTCCCCAATCCCTCACAAGGCAATTATTGAAGCTGAACAGCAATCCTTCTCATTTCTCCTGGCCCTGAAAAGCAAAAAAGTACTCTCTCACTACCCAAGGAGAGCTGCTGAGAAGAGTGTTTTCCCATTTCTGCCCTGCCTACTCCTCGGTATTCTGATTTTATAAATGTCCCCACAAGCCCATACAAAGAAAACACAGGCATTTGCTGGTGGATCCCTGCCGCTATGGCTCTCAATTTTACACCTAGCTGTGGAGGTTTTGATTTCTGTTCTGTAGTGGATTTTATTGCTATTGAAAGAAAAAAAAAATCTCATTTTTATTGCATTAAAAAGCTTCTGAAGATGTAAGGAATGTATCCAGAAAAGAGAAAGAATCTAGAGGGAGGGATAGACAAAAAAAAATCCCTTCTCAAATAGACCAGCCACAATAATGCAGTGTTGCAAAGTGGGAAAAATGTCAAATTGCTCTAATTTCAAATAAAATGCAGAGGTGCCCAGGGGAAAAAAAAGACAGCTGTCAAAGCTACCTGATAGGGTGTGATTGCACATGCCCAAAGGGGGATCATACTGGTGCAAGATACTCATGTACAGATGTCCAAAGTTTTAGGCAGTCAATGTTCTATTATGTTGCAAAGAGCAGCCAGAAAGCTACAAACAGCACACGCACACGAGTACTCACATGCACTCACTCTCACACATACACATATACAAACATGCGCCCTCTCTTCTTTTCTTCTTTTCCTCATACTCACCTGTAGATTTGGATGTATTACAGCAGAAATCTCCCCATTGGGATAACGGGGGAAGTCCTTCTGTTCAACCGGTCTGTATGCCTCAATTTCAAAAGCTGGGAACAAGGTGCCTAACAAAAAGAAGCAGACAAATCGCAGAAAGTTTATTCTCAGTCTTCACAATCATGAGTCTTATGAGGCAGAAGGATGGACAAACTCCTTCCCCACCACTCTGGGCAATTGATGATCAAAAGTTCAGATGTTTGTCAGCTTCTGCATCTGAATATACTGTTAGGTCTAGGCTTTATTTTAAAATTCATGCTAGGCACAGAGCCTGATCAGCGTAAATCTCATGACAGATCACTAGAGTGTGACACACGAGGGAAACAGGATTATATTTCCAGTCGTATTACGGAAAAATGCATGACGGTTGGTTGGTAGCTCTGCATTAGTTTTTCTTTCACTCTTATTTTGACAAAGGGAGAGCTTGTTGCCATAGCTTTCATCATTTTATCAGTAAAACTGTGACACTCTGACAATCTCCAAAATGGGTCTCATGAAGACGTAATATTTCTCACTCACGTTTATGGAGCTTCTCAGTTCAAGAATCAAAATAGGTCACCTTTGTTAAAAAGCTCAATGAAGTCCAAAGCACAGACCACAATCGATCTCATCTTAGCAAGTTGGTCAGCTCGTGCCACTCCCTGGGGTTGTGGGCCCAACTCTAATGCTGGAGGGGATTATAAGAAGAAAAAGGTGGTGGTGGTAGAACACATCATTAGAAATTATGTTGGAATGTCTTTGTTTACCTTACATACACCTTTCCTCCCTCTACTACACTGATCACAAGTGGCAAAGCAAGGACTGGAATATCTCCCACTTTTTGCTTGGGGAATACCTATGAGACTTTTGAAAATACTACAAACTACTAATGTAGGGCCTAAATGTGATTTTTCCAAAAGGCAACTGGACTTTTTCAAGAAAGTCCAGTTGCCTTTTGGGAAAAAAAATCTCCTTGGGACAATTGTGATCTGGATGATTGAGAATCTCCATAGACATTTACTAATGTAGGAATGGCCATTGTCTCTCAGCCTGTTTCATAATATAGTTATACTGTATGGGTAAAGAATGGGGCAAAGCTGCCTATCTTATTAACAGCTGACTTAATATGCATTCAAGAGAAACCCAAATAAGTTATGCTAGAAGAAAAGTTGCCAGAGAAAAACAAGATTTGAGTAAAGTAAGAGTTTGGAAAACAGGTGGGAGAGATATGAATTTTCATCTTCACTAGTTTTTAGTTATGTATTTATAAAACATCATTCCAAACTTATCTTGCTTAATTTATTTGAGCTATCTCAGTCTCTTTCAACAAAAAGCAACCAATTGGATAATTTTAATAGAATATTTTTAAATCTCTCACTATAGAAAGCAGCCCTTTGATACTGTCACTTTATTATTGCTACAAAGATGTCAAAATAGAAATGGGGTCAAGAAGACCATATCAGAAAAGACCCCATGTGGTTAAGCCAGAGTTGGTTTGAGACATCTGCTGCATCAGAAGATTACATTGCACCCTCTAAGGAGATAGTAGGATCTTTGGGAATGTTGCAACTGAAATTCATGAGCTGTATGCATCTTTTCCAGTCATTCTGTATTCTAGGAAGGATCACCAGGCTGAGAACTACTCCTTACCTAGTCCATGTTTAGCCACTGACGTCATGAAAGTAGTGTCCTCTCCAGATATTTGACAGAGTAAGATGGGACAGTGTCTCACTCTGCAGTGTTTCTGCAAAGGCAGGAAAAAAGAAGATAGCTTTTTTTAAAAAAGAAATCCCAGTTTTCTTTTCTTGAAAACAGGAAAAAAATAGATTCTTGGGAAATTTCAGAAACATGACCTCACCTGGATGTAGTTACACATATGTATGGATAACAGGCTAAATTCAGACTTCAGTAAGAGGCAGGAACCCATGTTGGCTGTAGTGTTGTGTAGATCTAACATAAAGTCATAGGCTTGAGATGAGCCCTTGGGTCCGAAGATCTGGTTGATTTCCTGAGCACGTTGAATCTCATAAAGGTCTGAATCTGAAGCCTTGGTACTGAGAAAGAGATGCTCAAAATAATGGTAGTCTGTTAGATCTGATCGGGAGAAGATGCCTCTTCTAATCTGGTATTATGCGGATATATTGGGATTCATCTTCTACTGTTCTAGCCAGCATGGTTAAAGCCACTTGGGCTGGAATTGATTCAAGATGGAGATATGCTAGCAGTTTTGAAGAGCCACAGACTGAGGAAAGTAAGTTTAAAGTCTTATGGCAACAAACTTTAAGTGAGGGCTTAGACACCTAAGCATCTTCAAACCTGACACAAAAAATGTGAGCTTCAGTGTGTTACCCTCCCCAATAGTACTGAGAAGAATGGTCTTTGTGTTCCCTACAAACTTCTAGAGCAGGGGTCTTCAAACTTGGCCCTTTTATGACTTGTGGACTTCAACTCCCAGAATTCCTCAGCCAGCATGCCTGGCTGAGGAATTCTGGGAGTTGAAGTCCACAAGTCATAAAAGGGCCAAGTTTGAAGACCCCTGCTCTAGAGATTGGAGCAAAGCGTAATACTTACTTTAGAAAAGCTGCAGCGAACGTACGATTGAGATCCCTCCCAATGTAGCGCACGCACCGCTCGACTGCACGCGGGTTGCCCACAAGAGGTGTAACCTGAAAGGTGCTGCGCTGCAAATCGGATGGATCCTGTAGCCAGTGCTTGACTAGGTAAACACCTGACATTTCATTCCCATGAGTTCCCCCGCATATTGCTACCCGTCTCAAGGGAGGAAGGTATTGTGGGTGTGACATGATAGGGTTTCAGACTCTGTTGTGAGAAAGAAGACCACATGGGATTATCAATAGCCCTTTCAGAAATACTGGAGTGTTCCCATCTGCAACCCATCGAGCCAAGCCCCTAATTTTGCGTTTAAATTTACTATCCACCACCCAGTTCTGCAATGTTTTAATATAAGAGTGGAGACTCCATGGATCGCTAGAACTTCAGCATTCAATACAGTTAGTCCTCGACTTACGATCACAATTGAGCACAAAATTTCTGTTGTTAAGCAAGGCACTTGCTAAGTGACTTTTTACACCTTTCTTGCCACAGTTGTTAAGTGAATTACTGCAGCTGTTAACAACACAGTTGTTAAGTGAATCTGGCTTCCCCGTTGACTTTGCTTGTCACAAAGTTGCAGAAGGTGATCACATGACCCTGCAACTGTCATAAATTTGAGTCATTTGCCAAACATCCAAATTTTGATCATGTGACCAGGGGGAATGCAGCAATTGCCGTTAAGTGTAAAAAAGGTTCATAAGTCACTATTCTCAGTGCCGTTGTAACTTCGAACAGTCACTAAATGAACTGTTGTAAGTTGAGGACTATCTGTACAATTTACTCATTAACTTATAAATATTTACTTATTTATTTATTTTATTTATTATTCATTTATTTATATTAAATGCATATGCTGCCAGTCTCACCAATAAGGCAACTCTTAAGAGATATGTCTCAAATGTTAATATCATTGTGTAAACAAATCATTTGCACAGTTATATTATGAGGCACATGTCTCACACACACATACATAGACACCCTGCTCCAAGTACAGTCGGTCTACAACTGTCACCCATTGTCATGATGGGAGTGGCACAGAAATTCCATATGAGGATTCTGAGCATGTGTGAAAGCACCTTTCGGCCTCTGTGTGCCACAGGCTGCAGGAGATTGCGACCAGTTGTAAATACGAGCTGGTTGCTACAAGCATTTGAAATGCAATCATGTGATCCCAGGAGTGGTGTAGCAATCATAACTGTGAGAGTAAGTTGTAAATAAATTTTAATGAGTTTGTCATAACTTCAAATGGTTGTTAAGCAACAGTGGTAAGTTAAGAATTGCCCGTATAAAGTCCACAGATGTGAATAATATCACTAATGAAATTTAGAGTATGTGAAGTAATATGTCAGCAGTTTGTAACCACCTCTTTTAAAAAAAAATCACATCTACCCATGATGCGGATGGTATTATTTTAATTCTTCTGCAAAATCTGTGGTGAGCTAATTTTCTTCTAGGTTCATTTCCCAGACTGTATTCTGGGGCACATCCCCCAATCTTCGACTTGTCTGCTGCATGAGTTATAAACAGAGAAGCTATTTAAAGAGAATGTGGGAGATTGCTCTCTTCAAGATCACCTGATTCCATATTTAGAATAGATTAAAAAAAATTCCAATCATCCTGGGTTATTAGTACATATACTGAAATTGCCATTTGCTTGAAAGAAACTAGGAGAGAGGCAGAAGATGGTGCTTTGGGAATGACAATTTCTTGAGGAAACAGTTGTGCACTGCTTAATGTGAGATATATTAGGAAAAAAAGTACAATGTATGTTCTAAAAGTAGGATATCCCTTGCAATTTAATCCTCAAGAATTTGGCATTTTGAATATGTACTGAGTTGACATTAACAAAACAAACTTTACAGTCCTTAATGAGTGGAGGGTAATAACCAACCAGAAAAAAAGTTCAACTACAACATTTTCCAGAATGTCAGAAAAGATTAAAGGGACTCAGGGATAGTATTTAGCACTGTGCAATGTCTGATAAAGTGAAGGGGTGGTTGTCTGTGGGAATCTGATAAAGAGTTAGCAGACAGAATAACCAGCATTTACCCTGTCCTATAAAAGTAGCTAGCAATCCATGCTACTATTCTACCTCTAAAAATTCTTCCTGTTCCTTTTTCTGTTTAAAACTGTAGTGATGCTTATGAATGTTACAGTGTGAGAACTTACCCAACTTGAAATTCTGGTCTACTTGCCTAATCCTGGCAGAAAAACAGATATGAGATCTGTCAGTCTCCTATCATGTCTAGGAATTCTACTCAAGTAGCTTTGTTGATATGTATGTATATGTGCGTCTCCAAGACTGCCTTGACTTCTGGAGATTGTTGAACTAGTCTTTGCAGGTTTTTGTGTGTGTATATGTATATGTATGCAGAGGGAGAGAGAGGGGGGGAGAAATGTTGTTGAGCATTGCAATTACAAATATAAGAACTAATACAAAGTAAAAAAAAGAATACAAAGAAAAATAGTGCAGAAAAGAAAAGACTTCCCCCTTCATAACCGGTATAAATAATGTTAGTAACATCACTTTCTCTTAAAATACGAAAAATGACCTCTTCTTCCCATGTCTCAAATCTATAAGCAAATCTTTAAAGCCTTATTGTTCTCTTCTGGTCAGCAAAAGTCCATTAAGAATTACCAGATATAACAATTGATCAAATAAACCAACTTTATATTTCTTCCTTTTAATTTTAACAATCCTGTTCTTTTTATATTCCTTCTCTCTCATTTTTAACCTAAAAATATGTTGAACCTTAATCCCCTCAAAGTCCTGAAACATGATTTGTTCTCATTTTTTTCTTCATCCCCTCTTACAAAATTTTTCACAACTTTAGCAGATTTTGAAAATCCAGTGTAACAAAGTTATCCCAGTCACTCTTTTGTTTTGGTAAAACATCAGCTGGTTTCATTTGCATATCCAGTGTAGCATCTTCTTCTTCCTCCTCCTTCCCCTCATTTTTAGATCTATTTTAATCCCTGCATTTTTCCTGGCAACATTCAGAAATGGCTCCCAGGACTAAGAAAGGGAGGGTCTCTCCCAAGATCTCCCAACTGATTTTAACTATTATACCAAACTGGATCTTTGTTAACTTTTATGCCTTACTTAAAATTATGCTTTACTACTCAGCTGAAGTGTAATCACTATCATTGAGAAGGATATTGTCCTTAATACCAGCAATTACACTTCCAAGCTTGCTGGGCTAAATCTGAGAACAAAAAATTCATGAAAGTACTGGGTATGCAAATAACAACAAACAGAAAAGTAAGTGTTTCCAAATTCAAGGGCAACTATAAACTTTAGAACAAAGAGGACCCATTGGCTGAATGACACACTTAACAAGAAAATTCCTTACTTTATATTTGATGTAGATTACAGCTTTCAGGTTAAAGAATTCCCAATGGCAACTGTTTAAATTTAGGATATTTGAAACCTCAGTTAAGAGCTGTATAATGAGAGGCATAGAAATAGTGTTCCTGCTTCTTTTTAATTTTGAGTTAAGCCTAATCCCTAATGACTTTGTGGACAACATCACACAATTTTCTTGGCAAATACTACGTAAGGAATTTGCAATGGCCTTCATCCAGGATGTTTATCCATTTTTTTGGTCAGGTGCTTAGCCCTGATATTTCCTTCCTTCTAAATACCAACCATATGAACCCTGCTTAGCCTTTTCTATATTTGCCTAGGTCAGTCAGGTGTTGCCACTTAGTAGAGCAGATGGGAAGTTAACGTTTACTACAATAAACAGTGTTTACTCCATAGAGTACCTTTGGACTCCATGTATTCCAGAGGTAGTCTTAGAAAACCAAAACAATGGTGGGCTTCATTGTTTCAAAATTTGCCCAACTGTCCAGAAAAGAGACTGCTATGTGAAGAACATCCTGGGATGGCAAAGTGGGATGGGGGAAGCTTCTGGAAACTGGGTTTGTTGTGCTTAAGCAGTGAAATGCAGCCACCATTTTGTGAGAGTGCTGTTAACATGTCTTCCAAATTTCATGTATGCCATGGGCTCAAAAAAAAAGTTGGGACCTCTGCAATAATACAGCTATCCCATAGTACAAAGGGATAGAATGAGCAATCCTGCCCTCCATTCCTGACTGAAAAATTGCTCCATATATCTTCAGGCTGCTAAGGCTGAGAAACATCCTACATGGTGTGACATGAACCTGGAGGAAATTTCCTTCTTTCCGCTGACACTTTTGGAACAGTGGAGCATAAAGCCCATTTATGCCTTTTGGGGAATGGGAAATGTCTTTGCTATTCTTGGCTGCTTCCAAAATGCCTCAGCACAGGCCTGTTTTCAAACCAGTGACTTCCCTAAACTCTTCTCCTTTCTGGTGAGAGATTCCCCCCCTCCTTCTAAAAGCACCATCTCTTCACCCTAGTCCCCAATTTGTCTCTCCCTCTCCTCTTCTTGGCTGCCCATTTATCTCCCTCTGTCACCACCCATGGCAGCTCTAATATAACTGCTAGGCAGGTATTGAACAGTGAGATGAGCAGGTGTGAGAAAGGACCAGGCGCAACTGTCACTAGCTTGGCAGGAGAAGATGGATGGTGAGAAAAGGAGGGCCACGTCCTGGAGCCTGAAGGCTAAACAGGAGGAGGGGAAGGAAGACCAGACAGCTGCCCCTGTATTTAGCCCACTTTTCCTCTTCAGTGGGCTTGATTATTATTAATCCATCCTGATATTATACATGCCTGGGGCTCACCCCAAATCTAACCCAGATTTTGAAGGTGCCTTGGCCAGGATGGCCTCAGTGCGTGAGCCCCTGTTACTATGGTCCATATTGACCATTCACTTGCCATCTCCCTTGCGATCCAATCCATACCCTTGCCCTTGCCCAGGCACCAATAGGGAGGGAGGAACAAGGTCCCTTGTTGGCAGCTGGATCTGTCAATCATCCTCAGAGTTTGGCTGGTAATTGTTTCTCCCATAATTGCCATTTTGCATTAGGTTAGAGTACTTTTGCATCCTTTTCCAGATGTGGAATATGAAAGCCAAGTACATTTCATAAATCTAAGTAAAAATATGTGCAGACTAGGAAAGTCCTACTCCAGGGAACTGAGCATTGAATTAAAACTTATGTTTTTGAGGAGATAATGGAGGACAAGAATAAAAAATGTTTATGGACCCAGGAAAAGCATGATTCCAGAGAAATGGCAATGCATGCATTATCCTTGAACTACTTAGCATTCTCTTATGAGATATCTGCCAACATCATGGCTGGATTTTAAAATTGTACTAAGCCATGATGTGAATGGGTTTGGCTGTGGTTTACTCATCAAAGTAGGAATGAATAAACCAATTTAACAAAATGTAGAAACTCAATCATTGCAAAGCCAGCTTCCTAGGTCAATTGTACATTGAACGATATAGCCAAAGGCCTTGTCCTACCTGTGAACTTGAACCAGAGAGCATTTATAGCAGATATAACATTTGTGTGGCAGTCTTATGCATCTTGCCCTGGCTTATTTCTCTCTCTGATTCTAGTCATCTAAAAATAAAGGATTTAATTTCATAGAGTTGATGATGTTTTCTGATGAATCTTTGGAGTATTAGGTGCCCACAGTGGTCGGTAAATACCCCAGGCAGCCAAAATTATCACTACTCTGAACTCCCTACTCCACAGATTTTCTAGATAAAACATCCCTGGAAAAAAGAGTGGCCTTAACCACCTGGCAGGTGGGACAATAGGATGCAAAGAAAGTTTGATTGGGGAGAGGACAATTCCTAGACCTGTAATAATGTCCTGTGTAGAAAAGAAAATGTGCAAAAGTATTCCATCCCGTTATTAAACTGCCAGGGGTCAGAAAAAAACTGCATTTGCCAAACCCTCCCCTTTGATACAACATGGAAAGGTACTCAGGAGCTGACCAGGAGCTCCCTGCTCACTTGACACTAGCAACAGATTTGGACTCTTCCATCATGGCTTCTGTTTCTCTTTCTATGAGAAATGCTAACAACAATTAGAGCTGTCATGCCCACTGTACCTCAGAGGAAGCTTTTTGCCCTCTGGCTTTAGCAATATTATTTCAGCCCAGGAGGTGGTCCCAGGACTGCTGCCCCTGGTCACCTGCTCATTGGGCTCATTAATCGATGGGTGTTGGCTGCATGGACGTGAGCAGCAGATGATTCCAGCATGTGCTGCTTTCATCCAACCAAGCCTTTATCTGGTTCACTCTCCTCCCTGCCTTGCTGCTCATTGGAGGGAATGGAAACCTCTCTTGATACGCGTCTACCACTAGCCCCCCAGCCCTGCAGGGATGGAAAATAAAATCGCTCACACCATTCTGGAGATCCAGCTCAGAACATTGCAGAGCAGGATATGGCAAGACTGAGAAGGGAATGAACTGAACAAGCCAGAGTCTTCTCACAGCCTTCCAGCTACGTACAATGTCAGGTAATTGGATCCCAGCAATGTACTCATCCATGTTTTGGATCTTGGTGGTTTTCTCTTTGAGCATTTTGATCTCTTCCAAGCCAGTAGGTTCCTCTAGTGCTAGGAAAGATAGGGGGACAGTTATTGGACTAATGCCGCTTCCCCAAACTAGTGCTATTGAGAAGTGTTGGATTACAACTCCCATCATCCCAAATCTAAAGGTTGGGAAAGGCTGTCTTAAAGATAGCTTACTCTTACATTGCATTGCTATGTAGAGAAGCAGCATGCTTGACACCTAAGCCGGGCCTTTCCGATGATTTCCACATGTGCCTGTTCAATAAAATCCTTGGATGCTGCAGATAGTGAGGTAGCATTTCTTTTATCTAGGTCAATTGGGGATCCTAAAGAGTAGCAGCCTGGGTCATCTCAAAGGAAACCTGCCCTAAAACTTCATAGGAAACGTTCTGAGGGTACAAGAATATGACTCAGTCCCCAGGAGTGTCTGGTGGCGCTGCTACACCTAGAAAACAATCCGGACATTAAGCTAAAGGGGTTGTTGTGGTAGCAATGGGTAGAGCTCCTTGTTTGTATCAGTATATGAGGGGCACATATGATTAAGTCACAATAATGAATTCGTCTAATTACATGCTTGTATGATTTTTAAATACCACCTATGGAATGAAATGTGGCACATGCCTAAGAAGGAAGTGGAGGGGGTTGCTATAACCATTTCAGTTGGAATCCTGAAATAATGGGAATGATTGAGTGGGTGTCCTTAGAGGGGAAGGTAGGTACACATTGGCTTCTAGCCAGCAAGGCAGGTGAGGTAGTTGGGTCTCCCTGCTAGGAAACTCACAGTGCAGCTTCCAACAGCAAATACCTTATTGGCCGTTCTAACCGGTGACTCTTCCTGTGGCAGAACTGGCAGGGCTACAAGGCATTGGGTGTAGCTGCTGGATGGTGCTTGGAGCTATTTTCCCCCCTAGTTTTTATTATTTACAGCTTAAGAGCAGTTCACATGATGGATAGATTCAATTTTAACAGCCATTTTGATTGGAGAGATGCTAAACAAAGTTGATAATTAAACTCCCTATATAATTGAGGAAGTTCCGTCTATTCTGTTTTTTTTTAAAGAAAACCTAATTGTGTTGCAAACCACCCCCACCCCTTATTTTGTTTTTGAATTTTGGCAATGTACTCCGGGAGGTTGCAAAGCTGAGTTGAGGGATCATACATAGGCAATGAGTTGTGAGTTGATCATCCTTCTTTTAAAGAAATTTGCTGGCCCTGGATGGCCCTGATGTTCTCAGACAAGGGAAATGAAAAGAGGTTAGACAAGGAAGCCAAGGTGAATAGTAGAAGAATAGCAGATAGGCTTGAGCTTTGATTGGATCACATAGTCGCAGTTTTTCAGGATCTGCACAACTGTGTGAATTGACAGCTGGAAAGATTAAGTGCATCTCTCCAGAAACCTTCGGATGGCTGTGTAGGGTCAACACAACTGAACTCTTTATTATAAGGTTACATTAACAGAATTTTGTGAGTCTGAAAGTACATTTCTCTCCTATTGCCTTTACAGCCCAAGAAACTAGGAAAGTTCCCTTTGGAGATATTTACCATCCCCACATTCCTTCTGTGGGCTAAACTGCCTCTTATCCCGCTGTCTCCCCAGCTGTGGCTCTTCTCCCTGCCTTCAAAGGTCACTCCTGCATACCATTACAAAACATTCCTTGCCTTTTTGAGAACCTGCTTTAAAATATGTATAATACACATGTGATTTTTCTGCGGGCTCTAGAGAGGGATGAAGAGAACAAGGCAAGGTGTACGAAAAGAACAGAATTGCACAAAAAGAGCAGGACATTAATCTCCTCAGCTTCCAGATGGAGCAGCACCAGATGCATATTCCATACCCAGAACTGGGGCATTAGCCATATCCCTGTGGGAAACTATACATGGCTGAACATACATTGCTAGTCAAACGTTTCTGAGGTAAAGTCCACCTTGATTCAAGCTTGACTGATTTCATTCCAATCCACTCTTCAGCCCTCAAATTTCTTGGTTGTCTCCCATCCAAACAATAAATATGTTTCAACCTTGTTTAGCTTTTCAGGATCAAGCCAAATTGGTTAGGCACTGCCACCTAGAATCTAGATGGCCGTATCAAACAGATTTAGGAAGTGAATGTTTGTTTCTTTATCCCAATGAAACTGCAGTTCTAATTAGATCTGGACAGAAAGCAATCATTTTGAACATTTCATTTGAAGTTAGGAGCCAAAAAGTACCGGTAGATATTTTTAAGGCATATTAAAGAACAAAATAAATATTATGCATAAACAAATGTTTTAGGGAAAACGTAAAGTATTATTACATAAAAAGGACAAAGGAAAATGGGGTAATGAAACCACAAGATGGAGTAGTTACAACATGCAAAGTTTAATTTAAAGTTTCCTAATCTCTACTGGAAAAAGCAAGGTGAAAAGAAGCTGAATTAAGGCATTAATATAAATGAGGTACAGTAACCATTAACTGATTAGAAAAACTGATTTGTTGTTGGACAGAACAATTTTAACTCTAGTTTCCTTACTGGGATTGTTTGGGGCAACAGTCTTTCACATCAGCCATACAGAGTGTGCTCTGATCGCCCAGATCTGCTCATAGAAAACTCAGTGTTACTAGGGGCTATCAACAATTGGGTGGTTCCCGTCAACAATACACATCTAAAGAAATGATAAAACCATGTTTGGATCTTCTAGGTCCTTTTCTCTGACAGATTTCGCATTGGTCCTGTCAGGCATGCTAGCTTGGAGTTCATAAAGCTAATCCCACTAATATCCTACTTCCAATGTAGGAAATACTATACGGGCTTCAGCTAAAACGGTCTATCAGGCTGAAAAGTCCTGCAAAACTGTCCTAGCTCCTGCTCTAACAACTATGAAGCATCAAGGGTTGGTTTTAAGCAATAGTTTTTCTTGTTTGTTGCTCCCTGGTCCCACTTTATTGCATCTTAACTCAATTCACCTAAGCTTCTTCCAGTTTGGCTAAATAAATACAATTCTAGACTTTCCAGACATTTGGCACAGAGAAAGAGAGAGAGAATTTTAATTACCTGGTCCACAGCTGAGATTCAAGCAACACACTCCTGTAGGCTCTAGTGAAAACGTTGAAACTGTAATTGAAAGTCCAAAGTACAGATGTCAGGAATGTCCTGGTAGAAAAGTAATCCAAATGCAGTTGAAGGGAAAAAAATAAAAGTTAAGATGTAACCTGAATCTCATCAAGAAGTGAACAAGATTGCAATAATCTATCTCTCATTCTCTTTCTCTCTATATATAAATATATTAATAACATGGGGAAAAATTTTCACAACTGGGAAGAAAACTGAATTACTGCCAAATTCTTCATGACCCAAATATCCAACCTCAGAAAGCTAGTTTAGGAAAACAATCAAGAATAGCCTTAACACAAAAGGGAAGACATTTTCACAGCAGGAAAACCATTCTTCTACAAAGAGAAAGCCTAAAGCAAATTTTCCCTAAGGAACTTTGAAAAATTAAAACTATTCAACTATTCAAAGTAATAATAAATAAAGGAGAAAAGAAGGGCCCCAGTACAGAGCAGCAATCTCTTTTAATCTTACGACACTTTAGTTTTTCTTGCCAATGCAACCTTTCATTTCTTCTTCTTTTTCAGTTAAAATTTAGTGCTGATTTGGGTGGATAAATGGATGACTGAAAAGTTCAGGCCAGAAACAAACAAACAAACAAAATCAGCTTCCCCTTGTGAAAGAATGGGATGGGGATAATGTATTCCCATGATCTACTATTAACAGTGTAACAAATTATTAAACTTTTCTCATACTATCTCTGTCATGGAATTTGCAAGATGTTTTGCCAGCATTAACTGGTTTTTTTCCTGACTCAAGAGGCCTTTTCCCCATTGCCCAGTTAAAGGTCTCTCCGTCCATCCTTGACGCAACAGAAAATTACCAGCATAAAATTTCCTTTTTCCACTGGTAATCTCTGTCCTGCATCTTGTTTCCAAGTCACTACAACCATCTGATTTCCTTGCAAGGAAACACAGGATAAAACTGATTTTACACATTGTGAGGCTGGCCTTAGGCAATGTCAAGATATTGGGGGGGGGGGGGGAAAGCATATTGCAATGAATTAAACTTCTCTCAGTCATGGACTAGAACCCAAATGAAGGCAATGTCATGGAAACACAGCCCAAAAAAAAGTGGCTGGAGCATTTTGGTGCCATAGCAACGTACAAATAGGGAAAGAACCTCTGAATCCAGGCAAAGAAAAAACATTATCCTCAAAACATCAGGCATGTTTTGAAAATCAGATTTTGCTCCTGTTCCATCCTACAGCTCTGTTGCAATCCACTGGTTCCCTTATAAAAGTAACCTGAAACAGAAAAAGCATCATCCACCATCATCTCCTTTAATGTTCAAGAGGTATGGATAATGAAGAATTGGTTTGGATGGATTATTTATTATTTTTGGTTTTTTGGTTTTACACAATATGCTTTTCTAGTGTGGTTCGGCTTGTTGTAGGAACTCAGCCATTGTCTTAGTTTGTTGCATGAACTAAGCCATCATGTTGATCTGTAATATTGTTTACGTGTTCGGACAGAGTATGTTATGTGATCACAAAACAATTGTGTTTTGCTAACTCAAGTTTAGTGTTCAGTGTGTTGTGTGATTCCTTGGTTAAGTGCTTTTAGCAGTGACAGAGTACATATCTTTACAACTAAATCAAGATCAAATCTGAGCTAGATCTTCAGAAGATGCTGGTACTGTCTTCTCCTGTTTTGCACAGAAAAGGTTATGAGAAGCATACAGGACATAGCTCAGCCTTCAAACTTATTTTCAAATTCATAAGTTATGTCTTAGAACACATACTGATATTTTAAGGAAATTTTATCTCTGAGCAGACATAAGTACTTATAATCAGTGAATAAGCCTCATTTGCAATCATTTGCAATAAGGGGCCAAGACTTCCATTTAGGCAGATATTCATGTCCGCCTTCAGAAATTAACCACAGCATATGAGTTTAGAAACTACCAAGTAGAACATGATTGTCCTTCTAATCGAGGTGAAATTCAGAAAAGAGCAAATGCCATGTGCAACAAATGCATTTATATTTATTTACACATTTCCTCCCTGTTTATCAATTAAAAAACCCACAGGTGCATTGGAACAGTTTATTTTTATAAGAAAAGGCTCCAAGCTTTTTGATGACAAGCATTTTTTCAAAGCACACATTCAGCACTCAAGAGAGCTTGGGAAATGGGAGGGGGTGGCTTATTGTATGTTGAAGGTTGTGTGTCAGCATGGCCCAAGATTGAGTGTCACTGAGAGGCAGTTGCAAATCTTCCAAACTCAGAAACCACAGTCTAAGATGAAGTCAAATAGATTACATCTCACCCATGTAATTATTCCTGGTGTAACCACCTCTTATATATAATATAAAGTTTGGCTGAGTTATTCTTTAACTAAAATGGTGACCTGATAATGTGCTTTAATTTCCTAATGCATCTTTACAAACATTGGGTGCGGGATGAGTTAATACATTTGGAAAAAATTAATTGTGCACATACAATTGGGGCACAGTATTAGTGAAGTCTGTGTTGTCCATAGGGATACATTCTCATATCATCCTTCAAAGTTAATCCACACTGTAAGGAAGCAGGCTATCCAGGATGCAATTATTCTTTCAATTGTCCCCATTGTCCCTATGCGCAAAAGCATCAGAAATTGTGCTTTTTCAAAAGTCAACTGGACTTTGTTTTCCTTGAAAACATTTTGCTTCTCATCCAAAAAGCTTCTTCAGTTCTTGGAAGAGAAGTAAAACGTCTTCAAGGAAAAAGAAAGTCCAGTTGCCTTTTGAAAAAAAAACACTTTTGGGACATCCATGACCTGGATGACTGAGAATCTCCATAGACAGCTGGAGTTCTTCCAAAGATGTAGATGTTTCAATGAAAGCCAACATTCAACCGGTGTAGATTAAGAGACAATGGCATGTTCAAAATCTAACATTGATCTTCTCCATGGGCAGGGATTTTTTTTCCTGAATCTTGGTTCTCCCACTGAGGTTTACGGAAGTCTGGTCTCCATGCCATCTGTAGCTGATACTGTGGTTTTCTTTCACTTCTTTCTCAGCATTCATTGCAGCAAGTTTGAGTGTACTGACCTCTGAGGGCTGCCCCTTCTCTCCTAGCCCAGTGGCTGCATCATGTCTGCTGGGCACAACAGCAGACTTTGAGCAATATGGAACCAGTGGAGCAGGGAAGCAAAGTGGCAGTTCCCAGTTAGCCAGGAAAAACCAATGTGTGTCTGGTGTCACTGTGCAACTGGAAATGAGGAGTCTTTGGGAGGAGTTCAACAGCCTTGGCACCGAGATGATTGTCACCAAGGCAGGACGGTAAGTGTCATGCACTTGGGATCACAGGTGCAAACACCATCTAATGCAGCATTTCTCAATCACTGAATCTTTAATATGAGTAGACTTCAACTCCCCATGAACCAGAAGTAGGAAAAGCACACCACTCAGCAAAGTTTCAGGAGGGAGGCTACAAAAATTGCACCTATACTACATTTATAAGAACAAAGTAAAAGACAATTAAGAAATTTAAGGAGATTATACCATGCACCTGAGCTTCCCAAATGGGTGCAGCTGTTTTAATGCTTAAAAAAATGTATGTGAAATATGGTTTACTGTGTAAGATAATCCTCTTTCAAATGCTTTTCCAGAGCTTGCTTCCTGCTGTGGGAAAAAATTGCCCAGTTTGGCAATTTGTGAGAAGCCACTTGATAAGTGTCTTGGGCCTTTAAGGCAAGACTTGTAGTGGACTTTCCTGCATCTTGGGCACATGATATCTGCCCTTCCCTGACCCTGAGTATGCCATTTACTCAGCTCAGGAATATTTTCTCCATATTCTGTAATGGCCTTCAAAGCACTGAAGGAGAAGGGAAAGGAAAGGAAAGGAAAGGAAAGGAAGAAAGCTCACCTTAGGAAATTTTCCATGCTCCCACCCCAAAGCTACTGGCTCAGTGCAGCATACTCATTTGTATCAATTATCCACAATAACCCATCTTTTTGTGCCAGAAGACCCTACTCATCTAAGACCCTTAGAATGCAGTCGACTGGCATTTCCAGGCCATGATAAGTCCTTCCCCAAAACAACAGGGAGGCTAAACAAATGATCTTGCAAAGTCCTTTTTCTCTGTGGCAGGAGGATGTTTCCCACCTTCCAGGTGAAGATATCAGGCATGGACCCTTTGGCTGACTATGTGCTTCTAATGGATTTTGTCCCTTTGGATGACAAGAGATACCGGTACGGGACCGTAAGTTTGGACCTATTGATGTCAATGGGAACTTCAATGAATGATTGCAGCCAATGGGGTCTCTCTACAGTCAAAGCTTTTCTATCACCAGAGTTCAGGGGTTCTGGGATTTTTTTTAAAAAAAAATCTGAGCCTGAGAAGATTTGAGACTTTCTATTCTCTTCCATTCCTCCCTCCAAACCCTTCAAATATCAGCCATCTTCTATTAGCACTTCTGTCATCTTCCAGGAAACCATGCCCACCCCGGCTCCGCAAAAACAAAAACCATCACAATACACAGTGGTGGGATTCAAATATGTGAACAACCGGTTCTCTGTGTGGATGCCGCTTCCAGAAGTCGCTTCCAGAAGTTCATTCTGGGCCTGGGCAACAAAAAATTAGCTACCGGTTCTGCCTAAGTGGTGCAAACCGGCTGAATCCCACCACTGACAATACGTCACGTGATGCAATTGAGTTTGACACCCATGCTATAAAGAATCACTTCCAGGCAGCTAGAGTGTATCTTCTTTTCCAATTTAACATTATCCGTGAAGGGGAAAAAAAACATATCCTGTATCAGGTCTCTTCAGAAGAAAAAAGAGTTGCAAGGCATAATAACACCACACTTTTATCTCAAGATAAAAGCCACATAAGTAGTATGCATTTAAGTTGTATTAGGTTTCTATATTAGCATGCAGCAGAGAGTCAGCAGCTACCAGTCCGTGATGCAAATCCTGTGGGGCATTAGTTGCCGATACCAATAAAGAACCAGGAGTCAAAGAGTTGGATTCATTATTATTATTTACTAGCTGTACCCGGCCACGCGTTGCTGTGGCTCATAGCGTGTGTTGCTTTTACGTCCAACAGATGTCACGGTGTGACATCTATATAATAGTAGGTATATAAAAACACGTGCGTATTCGAATGCAACGTTGTGTCAAAATTTCAAAGCAATCGGTGAAGAACTTTCAGAGATTTAAGATTTTGAACAAACGAACAGTTACATTTTTATTTATATAGATTTGTCTAGCATGTCTTCAGGGATGAAAAACACATGACCTTGACTCCCTCTCCTTTTCTTGTCATTCTGGCTTTTGGTCAACAATGGAAATGAATTAGCAATAGTCAGGTCAATATCTGGTTCTTGAATGAAGCTACTCATTAGAGATGCACAGATTTTTAAGATGGCTGCCATGGTGAGGAAAAACTGTTTACCAAAAGACAATCTAGAATCCTGTCCCTGCTGTCCCTCCTGATTCCTCAGGATGCTGTTTGTCATCCTAAAGTAGATGGCATATTTCCAAACAAAGTCCTTTTTTTGTGGCCATCAGCATGTTATAAGGCAACATGGGATGTCTACATGTGATTAAGGGGCATTCTTATAAATAAAAGTGATGCTAGAGACTGCTATTTTGCTTTGCAGCATCCCAGTAACCATTTATTTATTTTTAGAAAGTATTTAAGCAAAAATAAGATGGGACATAGAACCTGACAGGAACGAAAACACTTAACCCACCCACATGATCACTCCTCTGTTGCAACAGCCTTGTTGCTGAAACATATTTCAGTTCAGAATTTCATTTATACGTATAAAAGGTCTTGATTTAGATTTTGGATTCTGCATGAATCAATCTATCTTAGTCATTGGTATTGTCAAATATGCCTGAACATCAATATAAATGAGTATGTGGGTTTGTTATGTATTAAACCAGGGGTCTTCAAACTTGGCCCTTTTATGACTTGTGGGCGCTGGCTGACAAATTCTGGGAGTTGAAGTCCACAAGTCATAAAAGGGTCAAGTTTGAAGACCCCTGTATTAAACAATGTATGTAACATCCTTTGGCCTTCTTCCAGGCTGATGGATAGGGCCAGAATTCTCATCTCTGAAACATCGAGTTGTTAAGATGGATAACTTTTTCTGTTCCACAGCAGGGCAGCATACTTCCTATAGGTAGTATTTCACTATTCCATAGTTGGAACTGGACTGATCTAGCCTATTTTTTTCCCTTGGCCTGGAAATCAAAGGAAAGCTTTTGAGCTGATAAGTAGAAAACAATGGGACTTCCTAGCAAGCCAAACATAATGGATGGATCCAATACAAGCCAGAACTGTAACAACCTGTCCCAGCAGGATACTTCTTTCCTACAGGTATGCATTCCACAGTTCTGCTTGGCTGGTAGCTGGCAAGGCGGATCCTGCTACACCTGGCCGGGTTCACTTCCATCCTGATTCCCCTGCCAAGGGAGGCCAGTGGATGAGGCAAATTGTTTCTTTTGACAAGCTCAAGCTCACCAACAACTTGATGGATGACAACGGCCATGTGAGTTGCTCTGGACTGTTGCTGATTAATAACTATTTAGCTTCCTCACCTGGTTGCACTAGACTTAATAGCAACTGCTTAAGGCAATTGTTGCATGCTTTTCTCCTGTTTTTATTTTTAAAAAGGCAACATTATTCTTTAAATGCAATCATCATAACACTCAGATTTAAAAACCCTAAACATATATCTATATATCCAGGGCTTTTTTTTCTCATAGACCGCCCAGAACGGAGTTCCAGCACCTTTTTGGGATGGAACCTTGTAGGGTAGGCAAGGCAGGTTGTATAATGTATGTGAGTTCCGGCACCTTTTTTTTTTTTTTAAAGAAAAAAAGCACTGTATATATCTATATCTATATCTATATCTATATCTATATCTATATCTATATCTATATCTATATCTATATCTAAGCATAAAACAAAAATACATTTCTCCAAAATTCTTCTCAAACAAGATTTTTCAAAAAAAGGAGGGTTGTGGTAGTGGAGAAGAAGCCATATATTTCACACACACACACACACACACACACACACAAACACACACACACACACACACACACACATCGGATACTGAACATTTACTTTCTGTTTTCCTATTCCATTTTTTTGTTAAGATTTTACAAAAACCTGAAGATATGAGCATTCTTTCTTCAGTAAAGATGTTGCCCAGCTGCAAAAAGAATTGATTTTGAGCTTCCTCATCAATATATTAGTATTTAGTCTTCCATGACAACTACCTCATTGTGCAATGGGGAAATAAGGGGAGAATAGTCTTTTAAAATGCAGTCATTTTCTATTAGGATTTTTTTTTTAATTTTTAGAAATAAGTCTTTTTGTTTTTGTGCAACTCATTTTTCATACTGTTGGAGTAAGAGAAGAAACGTCTTTTCATTTATAACAATATCTCGCAATTGGGCTGGCTCAAGAAATCTGAATAAGCAATTACAGCTAGACTGCAACACGACCCTGACCCAAGACCCAACCTAATAGCTATGACCAATTTTATCCACCTTCTACACTCCAGATGTGTGATATTCCTGTTTCCACCACTGCCATTTCAACCACCCAGTCACTGGGATAGGACAGCATGTATACTATATTATTCTCCCTCCCTCCCCCCCAGCTATTGTATATTGAACAAAACTGAACAGAATTAGGTGTGATAATGGAAGAAGTGCCTCAGTGGGGATGGAAAAATTCCCCTTGTTGTGATTGTGGTGCTGATATGCAAATTATGAAACTTATTTTGCAAAATTGCCTACAATTTGTGTTCTCTGGTTCCCAAGCAACATCTATGGTAGCTGAACTGGACATCCAGTTATGAGACCACTGCCCTTCCCCCGTAGTGGTTTTGTATATAATTATGTGGATGTGTGTATATGTTTACTTCTCTTTTGTCATGTTTTCATCACATATAGCATATTAACTTTTGTAACCCAATACATCTGGCCGTTGCCAGATTGAGAAACTGATGTAGGCTTTTTTCATGGAGACTTTAATCATGAAAGTGAAGAGAACCTGAATGAATTAAATAAAAAGCATCTTTCATGAAATGTAGTCCCTTGGCTGACAGCAAAAAAAAATTCTGGCTAGTGTTTTTCCCCCATCATATTTCAAATTAGAACATATCTACTGACATCTGGGAAAGTGAAAGAAAGTTGCATTCTGCCATATGCATCATGGGAAGATGTCATGCCTTCACCTGAATTTAAATTTTGTACCCTCACCTGAAAGCTTTAATTTCTTAATCAAACAGATCATTCTGAACTCCATGCACAGATACCAGCCCCGTTTCCATGTGGTGGTGGTGGACCCACGTCCAGACAGTGAGCGTTATGCCCAGGAGAATTTCAAATCTTTCATCTTTACAGAGACACAATTTATGGCAGTGACCGCCTATCAGAACCATCGGGTATGAACACAGTATATCATGGTTTCTCCTTCAAGAGAACTGATTTATGGAAAGGGGTTGATGTGGATGGAACACCTCTGAATTCTTGCAGATAAATCAGGATGGCCCCCTCTGCTGAGTAAATATGCATAACACATACCGGTATCTCATGACCCTAAACCAGTGGTTCTCAACCTTTTTAATGCCGTGACCCCAACCGGTCGTAAGTCGAGGACTAAACTGGTCGTAAGTCGAGGACTAAACCGGTCGTAAGTCGAGGACTACCCAACCGGTCGTAAGTCGAGGACTTTCCCTGCTCGGGAGCGCCGCGCATGCGTGGTTCCGCCCCCTGCGCCGGCCGAGGCGTAGCTGGCAAGCAGCAGAGACGGAGCAGGCCAACCACCAGCTGGCCCAGCTCAAGGGAGGTAAGGCACCCGCCGGAAAAGGGGGAAAAATGGCGGACAGCCTTGCTTGGTGACCCCCGTGAAATGGTCGATCGACCCCAAATGGGGTCACGACCCATAGGTTGAGAACCACTGCCCTAAACTGACAACCTAATTACAAATCTTAAACCAGCAATCTAAGAAGGCATCTGAGGGGATACAATCAATATGGATGAAGGGGACTAGCTCAGAGCCCCAGTATATCACATTGTTCATTGGATAACTTTAAACTTTTATCTCTCAACCTCTTTTTGCTAGGGTACAATGAAATAGATAACCTTTTATCAATTGGTGTATCAATGAAGCCACTAGGAGTCAAACTCAACTTGAAGGAGACTTTGCCTTTTCTAAATGCCATCCTATGGTCCTCAGAAAAAGGATAGGCAGGATATAAATCAATTAAATGTTTATTGTGTCCCTTGGCCTTCTACTAGACAGTTATGTGAGGCATGTGAAGGGACTTAGATAAGTGTGCTACTTGACTGAAATTCCTTTCTCTGGGACTAGTGAAAGCTACCTGAAGGAAGACGAAGCTGGCAGGAAAAGTAGTAAATCACTGATAAAGCTATCCCTCTCTTGACAGATCACCCAGCTGAAAATTGCTAGTAACCCCTTTGCTAAAGGTTTCCGGGAGTGTGAGCCGGATGACTGGTAAGTCTCTTCCTAGATTATTTTACTAAGCCAGAGATAGATAACAGAATAAATGGAGCCATCTATTCAGTGGATTGAAGACCTTGTTGCACCTGCCACTTATGAATGGGTTGCCTATAGAGGCAGATTTTGTTTAGGCTCATTTATACAGAGTACAGGTCAGGGGAGTGGAAGAGAGAGGTGGAATTAAGCAGGGAGCCCTGCCCAACTCACTGAGAGAGCCCTTTCTTCATTAACTCTATCTGACAAAAGTATTTACCTCCAGTGGCTGCTTAAGGACGAGCAGGCAGTGATCACGGCGCAGGTGGCTAGATTCTGCGCAGCAGCACTGGGGATTCGCCAGAAACATATATAAACATTTTAGATCTTTTTAATAATCTTTTATAATCAATTTTATTACGTTTTTTTATCCAGCATTAGACTATAGTCAAATGTATTTTTATTGTCAGGTCAGTATGATTCAGTTTTTCTGAAGCTAGGTAGTTTTTTTATATATATATACTGTCTGTAAAACTAGGTAGACCTTGGTCACCCATTGATTACATCATTACTGGTCATATATTGCTATGTCTTCTTGTGTTGGTTCTGTTTAGTTTTGTTTTATTTGAATGTTTAATTTATGTGTTGGCCTTCGGCTGTAATAATAAATTGATTGATTAACTCTATCTGACTTCCAATCATCAGCTGGACTACCTGTAGATGGTGATTTATTAGTCTTCCAGAAGACTGGTGGCTGTAAGATAGTTTTATGACTTTGCTGTCATTCAGGCTAGAAGACCCCAGTTCAAGTACACCAAACTGAGAAGTGTTGCAAGGGAATGGCAGTTCTGGCAATAAATGCAGTCAGAGGCACCCAGAGGTATTCCATAGATTCAAAATAATGCCGAAATAGGGAAAATGATATTGCCCCCACTCCCCAAAATAGTCAGGCAGAACCTCTTTTTGACTAAAGGAGAAAATCTGTAATGTTCTAATTTGGGACATCTCTTTTCCAATTTAAATCAATGTATTTTTTTTAATAACCGAGCAAAATGACAATGAAGTAACTGATAGGGATTATGCCTACAGCATTCACAACCAGGCAACCTGTCAAATGCTAGCCCCTGACTATATCAATACCTTATCAATACCTTTAAAAAAGATCTATAATGCCTAATTCATGGTCTTGGTGATGATAATGTGATCAGAGTCTAGAACAGCTAAGGACAAATTTAGCCTGCCTCTACAGTTGCAAAGGGATCAAAGTCTGAACCATGAAATACATTCTCTGAAAAGAATAGGCGGTGCCCGAGACACGTCATGCTACTTGTCACAATTCACTTTACCTCAGGAGGGTTCCCCCCCCCATCTGTAATGTCTAAAACTGGTATAGAATCCATTCCACCAATGTTTGGGGGATGATTTATTGTATCAGCTAAGTCTACGTCATTCCGATAACTCAACAAAAGGGAGGAATCAAGACACCAGTGGTAGCTAAGGAAATAGCTGGAAATGGATCAAGTTGTTCTCCAAAAAACCTCCTGTAGAGTACTACTTAAGGGAAATTTCACATTTATATACCTTAACTGGTTATGTTGTATGTGCATAGGCCGGGATCCTCAGGGCAACTACTGAGTTGTTTATCACGGAATGGGAATGCCTCCTCCTTAGCCCAACTTCAAGAGATTCCAGAGAAAGGTAAGATGAAAAATTAATTTATCAGTTTAGAATGGAGAAATCTACAGGAAAGCAGTCTTAAATCCACGTGCCTACTAGGAAAACCAACAATCCCATAACACTGAAATTTTATGGTTTACTAATCTCTGTTTAGGGGTTTAAGGTAATGAAGCTAGATGACTTCCTACATAACTGTTTTATAAAGTTTTTGTGAGTAAGTGCTGTCTTCTTTCATACTGCCCTCATTGTAAGCTGAAATTAGCTGCTTTTTGTTCATTCCATTAAGCTTGCTTCCAGGGTTGGCTATAATCAAGTTGTATCTAATCCAAATTTTTGCTGAAGCAGTTAATTATTAGGTAAAGAACTCAGAGGAAAACTTGAACTTTGTTCTTTAAAGATCTGTACCATAAAGGCACCATAAATGTTTAAATGCCTAGGCAATATCTGGAAAACTACTGAAAGCTGAAGATTATGGCTTCCACAGTTAGTAAATAGTTACCTTGGTATCTTCTCATTTAGCAAGCAAGAGAAGAATCAACATCAACAAAGACTTGCATACATTTTTCTCGAGGCAGTTTGATTATATTCCTGTGTCTTTAATCACTGCACCAAACTGGCTCTCCAAGTTTAATAAGTTTAACTGTTAGCAAGAGAATGCATTGGACCAAACAATGAACCAGTATTTAAATTGCTAGTTTCCAACAACTTAAAAATAGTAAAATGCAAATCACACTATTATCTCCTGAGATCCTAGGTCTTAGTGAAATCATATAGCTAGCAGTATTCCCTGGATGTGGTTTCCTCAGTGGAGGTTTTGCCTTCCCCACTCTGATCAGCAACAGCAAAGAAGGTATATTTCAAGAGTGTCACACTGTGTAGAAACGGAAGAGGGCTCCTGTTAATAGCTTTTATTCTCTACAGCTCTCTCTCTCTCTTTCTAGGGTTTTCCAGCAATCACCACCTTCCTCCTGCCATCCTCAGAGAAGCTTCCCAATTCCAGCATCAACCTCTGGTGACATCAGCCAGCCTCCCAGATGTATGCATTGCACAACGACCCTTGAATGAAGCCCCAGGGGCCCTGCCCTACAAGCATCTTTCCTATCACAGCTTCTACGTGGGAGCTCGAACTGGGGCAGCCCCTTATGCCCTACCTAGCAACCGGGCAACCAGCTTCCATACTCTCAACATTTACACAGCTGGTGGTTATGAGCAATGAGACAGCAGGAGCAGCCATTCCCTGTCCCCTGGCCCAGTTCAGATCAAACTTTCCTAAATAACCCCTTTCATCTCCCGATGATGCTTTTTATGACACTGCCTGCCAGGAGGTTTCGCCCATTATACAACTTCCTCTTCATTGAAGGCATTTTGGGGATGGCATTTTTTATGCCCAACTGATACTTATAGCTTATCCCCTGCCCTAGATTAACAGAGTTGCCCAGCATTTCCTCAATTACATATTAAATAATTATATTATACATAGATACGATGTAGTCCAATACGAAACCAACCTCTTCTCAAAGGTGTAGCGGAACTCAAAACAGGAATGGAAAGTGGATTTCACTGAGATTCTGGCCACCTGCTCATAACTGATTCTGCTCCTTACCCCTCTGAAACAGCCCACAACGGTTAAGGAATTCAACCCCACCTCCAAACACAACAACCCTGATGAAACACACCCATCCCATGTCCAAATCTGCAAAGCAGAAATCCCAAGTAAATCTTGCGACTACAAAATGCTCTCCAGGCAGAGATAAAAATGCAGCGAGTTTTATTTTTGTTGCTGAGTTAGTGCCACAGGGATAAGGATTTCAATGTCTTTAGCACAGAATTCTACCTGGCCTATTGAATGCACCGTCCTCTTAAGGGGAGGATGTGACAGAGTGAGACAAGCTTTCGATGCATTCTTGAGGCCTCTCTGCCTTCAATGTGAAGGAAGCTTGTAGTACACTCCATGCCAAGAATCCCTCTTTTGCCTTTGGCAAAGTTAAGCTTAGTTGGCCTACATGGGAGAGGTGCTGTTTCCATTTGCCTCCTCTCTGGTCCACGTTCCATTAATGTGCTTTGCTAACAGCCCGTAAGCTGGGCTCATAAGACAGAAAGAACAGCCAACATCTCAATCCACTTCCCTGCATTAACCCCCAACATGTCAACTGTGCTTTAGATCAAGTCTGTCTTGACGGCTTGGATCTGCCTCCACCTCATATTTTGGTAGATGCAGCATCAACCTGAGTTCTTTGTCACAAGAATTTTTTTCTGAGGCTGACCTGGACATTAACCCCCGCCCCCCCAATAAAATTCTAGCGCAGTTCTGCAGAAAGTAATTTAAAAAGTCCCTTGGCCAGGTCTCTTGTCAACTAATCTAAGTAAGTAAACCGGTCCCTTTTTACACAGATGAGTGATACAAATGGACAATGTCCTTGTAGCTCCAATAGATCAAATTTCAGTGTTTCCTGTATTCTAATTTTCCTTAAGGTCTTTTACCATTTTTTCTCACCAGAGCTTTCAGGATACAGAAATATACATAAGATGGTTATGTATCAAAAGATCTGCAAGCAATGTGGCAAGATTCAAAACACAGCTCTGGAAGATTGTTCCTTCAGTTCCATAATATCAGCCTAAATACTGATATTCATGTGTGAGTCAGCACAGGATCTCGGTTTAATTGTAACAGGCTGTTAAAAGCTAGTGCATTTTCTGCCTAGATAGAAGTCACAAGCAGTAGATGGGGAAGCAAGAGTCAGTTTAAAAAAAAAAAGCAACATAAGCTGATAGCTTTGCCCATTAGTTCAGGATGGCACACTAAATATTCCCTTGCTGGAGAGAAGCAGTCATTTTTTCCCCCTTAGATCCAAATGTCGCTGGTGAAGTTGAAGGGGCTGAACTGGTACCCAGTACCTGAATAGAATTTGTTCTGGAATTCCACCCTGAAAAATACAGAACAGGTCAGTCTAGGATTAGCAAGATCAACTCTATCCCCAATTTTATCCAGTTCCAATAGAGATGCGCTGTGTCATCCCAGATTCAACAACCCATCCAGGATCAAAGACTTGATCTCTTTGGGAATCATTTATCACCTCTATGACTCCTAAATGTTAGCATAGAGGCACTTAGCAATCCAAGCCAAATAAGTCAGACATGTCAAACTCGCAAGGTCATGTGACATCATGCGACGTATCGGAGCTTTTTCCCCATTGCTGGCAATGGGGTGGGCTCGGTTTCGTCGTGACGCGTCCGGCCCATGGGCCGGCAGTTTGACACCCCTGGAATAAGTGAATAGCATTTACACAAAATGTTCTTGTGTTTGACAGAACAAATCCCTCTCCCATGCAAGTGTGAGCATACATGTCTCACCAATGAAGACGAAGGGCATGCAGGAAAGCTGAGAGTCCCTCCATCACCAGCAAAATTGCCACAGTCAATACTGCAAACGAAGCAAAGACAGGTACAAGGACAGCCCCGCCTTCGTAGCCCTTCAGCTGAAAGCCAGTATTCATCACCATATTCCAGAGGACCTCTGAGAGCTCTGTGGACAGGAATAAGTGCAAGAAGTTACCAAAGATTACAAAGGGGCAAATTCTCTCCCTATTGCATGCTAGGAATTTTTGCAGAAAGGGCATGCACCATCTTAATCAGACTTAATTTTGAGGCCAAATCACTGGCTGTATATATATATACTGTGATATTGTTTATGGCAGGGGTCCTCCACCTTGGCAACTTTAAAACTTGTGGACTTCAACTCCCAGAATTCCTCAGGTCCACAAGTCTTAAAGTTGCCAAGGTTGAGGACCCCTGGTTTACGGCATATCGTGTGTAAATCTGGCCAACCACGTTGACTACTTTGTTGACCATGGTTTAGCAAATAATGGGTTAGCGCACTATGAAAACCCAGTTTCTCACACACAATGATTTTACATGATGCCTAGACCTTCAGTTTGTTTAACCTTGTTTTGTTGAGTAAATCATGTTTGTCTGGCTTCATATAACAATCAACGCCATAAGCCATGCTATACAAAACCAAAACCAAACAAAGCACACGATGATTTGCTGCAATACACCAACCCAACCGCCATCACCTTTCCCAGGAATTTCAGGAAAAACTCTCGCCAACCAAATAATCAGCCTGGCACAGATGTTTGCAGCCAAAACCTCCTCTAATTCCCTCACTTCCCACCCCCAGGAACTCACGTGCGTGGGCCAAACTGAGGGCCCAGAGACGCAGATAAGAGGCCGTGTTCGAGATGCAGCCCAGGCAATACTCAATAGTGTGGATTGTTTGATGCATTATCGCGTCGCTAAAGTCAAACTATCGGAGAGATGGAAAAGAATTGGGTGGCAGTGAGGACTAGCCAGGTGCTCTGAACTATGCTCAACGCCCTCCCCCTGGAGCTTTGTCCAAAATCCAAAGAAAGGAAATGAAAGGAGAGGGAGAGGAAGAGGGGAGGGGAGGGGAGGAAGACAGCAAATAGAGACTGGTGAACAGAGCCAGTCTCAGATCAGAAGGTAGCTTTAAAAAAAACAACAATAATGTTGGGAGGCAAATGGCACGAGTGTCATGGCATATGTACTTATAAACTTAAGATCTTGGGGCACAGATATGAAGTTGCTTCTTTTACGCAATGCCATCATGACAAACTTGTTTTCATTTTGTCATAGTTGCAACTTTTATAGACATTGCTGTCTGCATCCCTCTGTTCAAAACATAAGTACTGATGTATCTCTCTATGCTGGTTGTTTCGGTTATTTCATCAATTTCAGCCTTTCTTCTATTCTCCTACCATGTCTAAAAAAGTCACTTAAGTGAAAATAAAGTCTTCAGGTTGTGGCAAATCTGCACAAAGTACTAGTCAAATGGCTGGGAGGGAGGTCACGGAACAAAATTCTGGCCATCACCACCAAATTAAAGTAAAAGTGTTACCTCCTCCTCCTCCTGGTTGGTTTCCATGTGATCCACGTCACCTTCAGCAATGTTCACAGATACCTTTCGTTCCTGTGAGTTCAGCAGTGGTTGCCGCTCTCCTGCTGTGGAAGGATTGTGCTGCAAACATCCCAGAACACATCAACTGTCAGAGAAGAGGCTTCTCAAATATCCCACAGATTTAGCACCCAGGATATATATAAGCAAAAGGTCCCCTCCCCCTGAACCTGCTATCTTCCTCAATGGCATACGCCATCTTGGAGGATGCTTCAGTGTTCATTAAAGGCCTTTCTCGGCTCAGTCCTTGAACTGGTGGGCCCAAGAGAGGAAAGTCTTAGAATCCACATAGCTGGCAACTGAACTAGGGAACCGGGTTTGTACAACAATCCTAAATGAATCCCAGGGAGTGATTCTTACCCGAGATTGGCGATGTTTGTGCCTGAGATATAAGGGTGTCCCCAGCAACAGGATGGGCACAGAGATCAGAGCCACCGACATCAACACCTTCTGCACTACTATCTGTAGTGAGCAAGAGGACAATTGTAGTTATTGCAGCCCCATCTCAAAGAATTCAAAATTAAAGTAACTTTACAGGAATGAAAAAAAAAACTTTTCTGAGTTGCATCTCACAATTAGAACAAGGCACCAGAGCAAAGACAAGTACAGGCACCCTCTTGTCCCTTTCTCACAGTTTATTTCAATTCTTATCCTATGAAACTTTATTGATGAGGATCTTTTTACACTCTAATCATGTTATTATTATATATTGTCTTATTAACAAAACAAACCAAAATAGGACTCTGAAAATTGTTTTATTAGCTGAAAACTAGGAAACCATTCAATGCTTCCCTCAAAGTATTACAGTCCACTTAATTGTGTTAAAAAAAATGGTTACCAGCACAGTAAGATTGAAAGTGTACTACCCAGTAAAGGGAATATGTTCCTAATATTAAACAAGGCATTAATAATATTTTGATTACTTAGTTCCATTTTTGAGTATTTTCCTTGACAGATTTAAAATGCAGCAAAAATAAGAAAGCAGCATCTAAAATAGTAAGCAGCATCCTCATATGGCACCTGTGGAAGCCCAAAACTAATTATTAAAAAAATAAAATGGCAGAAATTTCATGGCAATGCCAAATTGCATGAGATTTCAGCCTTCCCAGCTGAAATATCACTAGATTGTATAAGATTTTAGGATGAGAGTATCTTGTGAGATTTGGCAATTTGGATATGAATATGCATAAACTTGAGTTTTTTTGACAAGTACCAAAAGCTCTCAATAGCTAGAATTACATTTATGTTCAAGTTCTCAAAATATAACTATTTCCAAAAATATTTTTCCACAGGTCTTGTGGCTTTGTATCTCTGGTTGACGTGTGCACATCATTGGTCATTACAAAACCAAATGATGAATTGGTTTGTGAAACCACCATCACCATTTGAACAGAAAATTCCCCTCAAATAACATTTCTCAAAAAAGCTGGTCACAAATCCAGCATTAAAAAGAAAATGCAGATGAATAGCAATGATTGAATAGAACAAAGCCATCTTAGTATGTTACAAGGCTAATTTGGTTGTGGATGAGGAGGCCAAGTTGCTACGCATAATTATCAGACCTGGGTGGACCCAGAGGGGATTATCTGAAGATAGAGAATTTATGAGTAATCCTTTCTCCTATAGTTTTTGCCCCCCTCTGTAAAATCCCATCTGTTAAGCAATGCCATCCAATTGGACCCTGAACACATTTTTTTTTCCTGTTGTCAGTCTTGTTCTATCAAATAGCACCCGTCAGAGATTTTCCTAGGCTCTGGATTAGGGTGGGACATAGGCTTCCTATCTGAAGGATCTGAGTAGTTTTTTACTGGGAAAACCATCTTCTTTTTCTGTTTTTGCTTGTTGTTTTATACTCCCATGTTTAATTTTATTTGCCACCAAAGTCACTGACACATTTGGCAGCCTTAGGAATGTGAATGATAACCCAATCAAAGAAAAATAAATTTCAAGGGAACATTTTATCCCCAAGCAGCTTCCTCTATTCCTGTATTATCTGACAATGTGCACATTTGGAGCAAATAAGTGTTATTTGGATACATAATTTTCTGAATTATGTATCTGTCCTATCCCATTCAATTCAACAGATTTTGGCAAGAAGAAAAACAATGGAGAATTAAAGGGAGGAATACTTTTAAAGTAGGGAATAAAAAAAATAGGATATGATGCTAGAAGCAGTTACCTGTTGCTTAAAGAGCGCAGTATTTTCACCACTCTCTGAAAACAGGAACATGTTAATGAAGTGGATGAGAATGCTAGGGGCGAACTTGGAGTTAGAAACATCATACATAAACCATTTGTAAAATATCAGGATTACAAGGTAGCCAAAGAGCAGCAGAAGGAAAGTGATCTCTGGAAGGAAAACCAATAGGATCTTGTATCTTTGCTTGAAGTGGCTGCAAACCAGACAGACGGGAGAAGTCATCAACAAAACCATCAGAGACACATCCAGCCCAATATCACTGATTAGGCAAATGCCTCTTGGGAAGCAGCAGCTCAATCCCCATTATGTTCCTTAGCCTCTAAGGAAAAGAAGGTACCATATAGCTATCATTATCTCTAGCTACTAGCAGTTTTACCCTCCATAATTGTATCCAACTCCCTTTTAAAACCCACTCTGTTGATTGTAATCAAAGTAGAATTTCCAAGACCCCCTTTGTTGGCCAAGCAGGGGTACATCAACTGGATACTCACATGTGGTTGAAGATGCCAAGAAACACTCCAAAGCTCATGTGAAAAATGCCCAAGATCACAGACATCTTCATTTTGAAGGAGTTTAGAAAGGAGAGGTGATTAACAGCCAGACTCCAGATCTAGCTCATAAGAGAGGAAGACAAAAAATCCCACACATGGCAGTGACAAGAGCCGGTTCAGATTTGGGAAGGGGGAAAAAAATAAAAGGAAAGCAGGAGAGAAACCCAATTAATTTTAATTCTGGTTCCATCTTATTTACAGCTGGACTTTGGATATAAAAGTATCATCTCTACATAAAGGAGCAACGTGGACTGAAAAAAGATTTTTTTTCCATCAAACATACAACTGATTGGTTGCAATATATGGATGCCAAGATGGCAGCATTCTTAAATATATCTTTGTACATTTAAAGAAAGGACGGGAATGGAAATAAATATATCTACAAATGCATATGATAACCCAAACTAAATCTGAGACTACATATTTGCCTAAAATTAACTGCAATTCTGAATTAATTTCAAGACTACAGTGAGATATGAAACTGATATTAATTTTGTTTTGTCTTAAATCAGTTTTCTCCCAGCTGTTGACCTTTAGTTGAGTTGGAACTATATCTCCCAGAATTCCTTGTCAGAATGCTGGAATTATTTGCTTGGCGTTATAGTCCAATACACACCTGCACAGGTGTTTGATATTAGGAAATTGTCATGGTTAAATATTCAGCATGTATTTAAAATAAATACAACAGAAATTCAAATATGTTGCAAAATTAACATTCAAACTATATTAAGAACCTTTTATTACACCCCTATCATATTCTTCTGTTCAAATTATAGTTTTGTTTATTAATTTAATGCATTTACATTCCTTTTTTCTTATGAAAGCTTAAAAGATTGTATATGCTGGTCTTCCCTCATTTTATCTTTGCCATACAGACTGGGCCTGATTGGGCCAAAAAAACTAAGAAAACTCAATGACTAAGTGAGGAATTACTTCTGTTAGCTGAATCAAGGCATTTTGCATGTTAGTTAGTTATATATCCACCTATTATTGATGCAGCAACAACACTGCAGCAAGATGCTCAACAGTCAGTGGAGTTCCCTGAGGCCAGTTCTCACCACAAAGGCAAAGTCTTCAGCCTTTCTTGAAAGAAAATTAGGAGGGAGGATATGCCACCTTGAACTCCTGAAGGAAAGGCAGGATATCACTAAGGAAGGCAGGCACATTGTATTGAATATTTGCATTGAAATCCTCACAGTCAGCTATTTCAGATCAGCTGAAAGATAATGGAAACCTATCAACTTTTGATTCGTTCAACATGGTTAAATATGCCTAGTTCCTTTCCATATACTATAGCACACATCAAGCAGCAATAACCCACATAACTACTTGTTTCAAATTGCCACTCAGCTTACCGGATCTATCCCAAAAGGGTAGGGACCATTAAAAACGCCGCTGACATTGGGGTCCAGGTTTAGAGAAAGGCTTTCTATGATGTAGTCTGAGCTGTAAGGAAAAGAAGAGTTTCAGGTGGTGACTATGTCCCCCGCCCCAAGGAGAGGGAGAGTTTTGGCTTTAAGGACAGGCCCTTTGGTACCTCCAGTCCGAGTTGTTGGCCATAGCAGCGACACTCCAAGCAGAGGGGAAGATGGCCATTGCCTTGCCAAAGCATTCGTTGTAGATGAAACCGGTGTAGACAGAGAAGGCACCCATTAGGAGGATGAGGTAACGGCCCTCAAAGAACATCTGCCAGATCTGATAAGGGAAGGTAACATTAAGTGTACACGATGCATGGGGGGAACATATCCAGGAGCCCATGTACAGTATTATGTTTAGTTTCTGAAAGTGTTCAGCTTCTCAATTGGTCGGAGACATAACTTAGGGCCAGGGTATCTGCCAACCAGAACTAACTCCCCCCCCTTTTTTTTTTTAGGATTTAAAAAAGGGGTAGCATCATCTTGTGGTCCTTAAGGGAAAAAAGGGGATGAACTTGTTCTAAAATTATTTCCAGATCTCTGGCAGAAATCGATTATCTTCTTTCTCCATCTACCTAAAGTGCACATTCCATAGAAAAAAGATCTTCTTCAACCAGGGCTCACCTCATTTTCCACCTTCTTCATGCCAGGCCGGTTCTCAAAAAGCACCATCCAAAGGGCAAAGAGGAACATCAGTAGTCCATGGCCAACATCCCCAAACATGACGGCAAAGAGGAAAGGGAAAGTGATGATGGTGTAAGGAGCTGAAAAGGAGAGCTGACATTAGCAGAGAAGCCCAAGGGAAGCCCCACAGCTACTTGCCCTCTTGCTTAAATCAGCCCAGATTGTCACCATCCCTGCCTTGGTTATTTTTTGGAACCATAAAAGAATCGAGAATAATCGACACATCACATCAGCTCATATGCCATCCTGTTAGGCTTATACATTCTCTAAAACCAACACTTATTCCTGTTGGCTTTTTTCTCTCTTTTACTCCCCACGTGGCCGTCCCTTGTTTGGAGGCGAGGGCGTGTCATAGCTGTTACTGCAACTTGCAGTATCAAGCAATGGATCAAACCTTCAAGGGTAAAGAGATGAGGGAGGTAGCACATTTTCTCACCTGGGTTCATCTCTTGATAGCTGGTCACTCCATAGACATCAATAATGTTCTGGAAGCCAGCAGTGAATTTATTGGTGCGAATGAGAGTCGGGGGATTCTCGGTGCAGATAATCCGATGGACAAAGGACTCCACTCCAGAACCACTGCGCTGCTGTAGGGACAAAAAAGGGATCACCCAGGGCAGTTTAGGCAACGGATGTACTTGAGGTTGGACAGTTTTTCTCCTCTGTCTCTTTCTGAACGGGTTTGCAGCAGCTCAACTTCTACACTGCAGAGTAATGAGTCACCCAAGTACACACCTGAGGGCAAATTGCGACCCATCCTAAAAGAATCTGGCGCACTAAATCAAGTGCACCATGACAAGTGCAATTGTCTCTTTGCAGAGGCCGCTACTCAGCTATTGCTTTCCAAAATAAAAATTAAGTTTCTAGTCATCATGACTATTAAAGGCGATGGGTACCAAAGATTCAGAAGTCAAAGGCTTTCCAGGGTTACAAACTCTAATTATTTTCCATTATTACCTTTTGCTACCTCTCACAATTCAGAGCTCTGTGGACTAATTGGAAAGCTTGAAGTCCTATCTCAAAATAATCTAGGACGGTGTATGTCAGAAAGTCACAGCTCTGAAACCTGCATGCTACAAGGATGCTACCTGCAACCTACAAGGAGGAGCCAGGAGTTATGCAAGTCCCTGAATTCACATTTCTTAGCCACTGGAAATTTTCAGCCTTTTCTTTAGCTTCTGAAATTTTAGCACACATTATTTACATATTTCCAAGCATTCTTTTATACCCACGAGGACTAGAAACCTATTTTTTTAAAAAAACACTTTTTAAATTTACTGCTCTACAGGGGAAAGGGCAAAGCAAATTAATTACATATTAGTAACGATCTCAGTTCACTAAGTACTGGTTGTTATGTAGCCAAAACATATAAGAAGTATCTGCATGCTTTAAGACAGGGCTGTCAAACTCGCAACGTCACGTGACATGTCGCGACGTATCGTGACTTTTTTTCCATTTTTTTCCGGCAATGGGGTGGGCGGGGGTTCGGCATGACGCATCCAGCCCACGGGCCGGCACTTTGACACCCCTGCTTTAAGAGCACAAGGCTTAAAGAATTATACTTTTGAAAAAAAAAAATCTTTCAGAGGAGATACCTCCCTACCAAAACTCAGCTTGAGTAAGGATAGTCACAATGGTAAGTCCCAGAGGAAGGCAGGTTCCAGCTATCTGAGAATAGGGGCACCAACCCTGCGACATTTGGGGGGGGGGAGCTCTTAGTGCTATAAGCCAGGGGTAGTCAACCTTGGCTCTTTTATGACTCGTGGACTTCAACTCCCAGAATTCCTGAGCCAGCATGGCTCAGCTTGGAAACAGTCTCCCTTTCCCCTCAGCATGGCTGGCTCAGGAATTCTGGGAGTTGAAGTCCACGAGTCATAAAAGAGCCAAGGTTGCCTACCCCTGCTATAAGCCAAAGCGATTTCCTTTTAGCTCTGAGTGCAAAGAGGAATGCATTCGTCTGATTGAGAAAAAGCAATACATTTCTCCTCATGGTCCACAGCATCTCAGGCAAGGCAGAAGTAGGACGGCAAGAGGAGAACAGAGGTCAGACGGGCATCCAGCGGCACTTACCGATCCTTCGCGCAGGGCCAGCTGCACAGCAGGAAGGTCACGGACAGGACACCAAACCTCACCAATGAGGCATTTATCAGTGATGCTGAAGCTGCACTGGTTGAGGATGAAGTAGATCGCCTTCATCTTCTGGATCTGTACTTGCCAAGCGGGTAGAACAGAAAGCACTTTTTGCAGCACCTGGTCCAAATATTGCTCCGTCTGGCCTAATACCTGTTTGGAAGAGTTTGGGGGCAAATTCACAGCTTTCATTAGTGGAGTGATTTGAAGTTAACATTATTTAATTAGCAATGGAAGAAGATGCTCAGAGCAGCAATTGTTCAAAGCAATCTTTAAGTCTAGAAAATGCACAAGCCTCATCCAAGCACAGTCCTGTTTGTTCATTTATTCATTTGATTATTGATTCATTTGTTCATTTGTCCATTCATTTATTCAAAACATTTGAAACATTAAAACAAAACTCTGGGTGGTCCACACCCAAAGAATAAAACATCATATACCAAGAGTAAAAACAGAGAATAAAACTAAAAACAGGAGAAAAAAAATATTGGCACCACAACCAAATTTCCCACACAACATTGTCCTCCCATTCTGACCTCACCATATCTACACTTTTTAAAACTGATTATCTTGCCCCAAACGTTCTCATTGCATTTATAAATTAGTGAAAGAAATGGAAAGAATTTACTATAAGAAGTGAGGAATATAAACAGGAGAACTGGGGTGGGGCAGGAAGGGGAAGGACAGTCAGACCGGGTAAAAATAGTACGGAAGAAGAAAATACTTCTGCATTTCAAAAACTAAAAGAGAGTTTTTGAATGATCTTTTATTTGGTACGAAGGAGAAATCCAGCATTTTAGAGGAGTCGTAGACAAATATGATGTCCAAAAAGCACCGATGACTTTCAAAAAATAACATTTTTAAAATGTCAAAAACTTGTGAGATTTGAGGAACTCATGGAGGAATGCCACCACTTTGCACCATGCTGATCTAGAACAAAGGAATCTTGCAAATCCTTGAAGGATTCCAGCTATATATAACTTGTGCCCTGCCGTCAAAAAAGTTGAAAAAAAGTTGCTGACAAATCTGAAGGGGAAAAAATGAAGTGACAATATTTATGTAGAATTTGCCATTATTAGACTTCTCAATTTTCTTTCTTTCCCTGGGGAAAAAAAAGGACTGGATCCACCACTGCCTCCTGCACACTTCCTCTGCCCCAATCGTGCAGAGAATCCTTACTATGGTCAGATCTTCTGCTTGAGTTCGCAGCTCACTCAAGGTCTCCGTGCGCTCAGCCTCATTCTCAGGATATGGGTACACGTGGCAGTGAAAGCTGGGGAGAAACACAACACACTATGAGTGAGGTCAGTGGCAGACTGCTTATGGGGAAGCCAGATATGCATATGGGGAGGGTGAGCTGGGTAAGTAGAAGCTCTTGAGAAACTGACAAGCACGGCTAGTGGGAAGAGCCTCAGAGCTCTGGGAAAAGAGGCAATATCTGAATGATGCCAGACCACATCCGTGGAGGAACACATCATGAAAAAAACTTTGGAATGGAAAAACAGGTCTCACTATTAAGTAAGTAAGCAATAGTGGCTGTATTCACTTTACCCAACACAGGAATTCAAACCCTTAACCGTAGGTTTCCTTGTTTAGTAACTACAATTGGGAGCAGCAACTGGATTGTTAAGTGAAGTGGTCACTAACTGAAAATGCAACAGTGCTTATGATCTTACTTCAGTTTTCCTTTGCTTTAGGGGTAGTCCTTATTTCACAATTGCATATAATAAATCGTTGCATTTACGACCTTCATGGGTCTATAAAGCAAAGGAAAGCTGAAGTAAGATTATTAGCACAGTCATAGTTTCACTTAGTGATCACTTTGTGTAACGACTGGGTTGCTGGTCCCAGTTGTGATCGCTAAACGAGGACTGCCTAGACCAGGGGTGTCAAACTGCTGGGCCGCAGGCCGGACACGTCACACGAAGCCGCACCCACCCCATTGCCGGCAATGGCAAAACAGTCCTGATACGTCGCGCGACGCCACGTGACATCGCAAGTTTGACATGTCTGGCCTAGACAAACCTGCAAACGTTGTAAATGCAAGGAATGGTTGCAAAACTACTTTTTCACCACTGTTGTAATTGCAAACAGTTGTTAAATGAGGCAGTAACTAAATGGGGACTACCAGTATAATGTATGGTTTGATTAAACTGGGAAATTTTGTTATTTCCACTACATCTATTATCAGCACTGTTCTCTGGGCCCTCTCTACTACCACAAATGTAAGGTATGTGTAAGTACACATATACTTTACATGTATCTGTATATTTATGAATGATATGGTTAGGGGGCTGGACTGCACCAAAGAAGAAACACTGGTAAACCCAGGGGCAGGATGAGACAACAGTAGAGGTGAGAACAACCACCACCCATCATAGACAACAGAGGGAGTACACAATATCCAGAGCACTCACCAGTTGGCAATCTTACGGATTTTCTGCCCAATCTGTTCACCCCAGTAGGAGATGAGGAAGATGACCCAGGTGATGCTTTCCCCCTACACAGGAAAAGACAAATTGCTCAGAAGCCTTCACAGTAGGAAGGATAGGAGAATGGGGCCTTCTTCCAAGGCAAGCCACAAAATGTATTGACAATCTGAATTGCATTTCTGCCTGCCCATCAATTGATTGTTATGTATCATCAATTCTTAATGGCTACATTAGATCTATGTCAGTGGTTCTCAACCTGTGGGTCGGGACCCCATTTGGGGTCGATCGACCATTTCATGGGGGTCACCAAGCAAGGCTGTCCGCCATTTTTTTTGTCCGCCATTTTTTCCCCCTTTTCCGGCGGGTGCCTTACCTCCCTTGGGCTGGGCCAGCTGGTGGTCGGCCTGCTCCGTCTCTGCCGCTTGCCAGATACGCCTCGGCCGGCGCAGGGGGCGGAACCACGCATGCGCAGCGCTCCCGGGCAGGGAAAGTCCTCGACTTACGACCGGCTGGGTAGTCCTCGACTTACGACCGGTTTAGTCCTCGACTTACGACCGGTTTAGTCCTCGACTTACGACCGGTTTAGTCCTCAACTTACGACCGGTTGGGGTCACGGCATTAAAAAGGTTGAGAACCACTGATCTATGTGGTCTGTCCCCGACCTAGCTCTTCAGGTCTTCCAATGGTTCACCAGTTGCTGCTGTAATCTAATTGTACCCATCTGGGATCTCACAACTGTGGGCATTCGTGAGGGCAAAGATGGAAGTAGGAAAGGATAGACTTTGATGGCTTAACAAACGTACACTGCTTCACTATAACAAAACCGCTAGTTTCTGTGACCGCCCCTGTATGAAGCTAGACTCTCTAGGTTGCCTGCAGCCATTTGCCCTGTAACCCAGCCAGAGGTATCCTTATTGTTTTCAATTGCAGAGGGGAGTTACACATTTGGAAGGCGCAAGGTTAAGAAAAACTGCCACAGCCTCAGTGTGTTACCATTCCCAGCCAACGTATCCAATTTTTCCTCTTACTGGATTCCATCTTACCGTGGATAGATTTTCAACGGGTTCTGTCATCTCTATGAAATGTGGAACAAGGTAGCCACGGCATGCACGCCACAACAGCCGTTCGAAGGAATTCACCCGCCATGGATGTATCACACCTGCCACAAAGCTTTAGGGACAGGGTGAAAGGGAGAAAACCTAAATTAAATTTTGAAGGTCGATTGTTCAGTCTCCCAAGGCAACATTATGCACATCTTGCATTATGTTATGTACGTTAAGTGCCCTTCAGAGTACAGGAGTACCCCATCCCTTCCATGAAAGGAATCCCCCAAAACACTCTCAATCCAATAACCATGATCCCTTGAAACAGGTGAGAGAAGAGTCGGCAAGCTCCACAGCTCCTCCACCAATATTCCTTATCTGAGCAAGCAAGCCTCACCCAACTCCACTCACTTGATTCTGAGGTCAGGGCGGTGTAGCACGGTGGGGTTAAGCAGAGGATCTCTTTCAGAGTAAGCACGAGAACGGACAGGCGAATCAAGGGGCAGCACCTGCTGGTAGACGTGACAACCCAGGATTCAGGCCACGGAAGTTCTCCTCCCACTCTCCCTGGGTTATTTGGCTAGCAAAAGGTGTTTCACCCTCAGCCTTCTGTTCATCCCTTAGACCCGAGGCTTCGAACAACCCTCCCCAACAGCTCCCTCTTTTCCCCCCAAGTCCCCGAATTTGCCTGACTACCAGAGAGGTAGGTTTGAAACAGGAAGAGGAAGGGATCAACTTACCAATTGACCAGTGAAGCGCTGGCCCTCCTGCAGCACCTGAATATGCTCCCGCAGTTCCTGCAGCTGACTGAGCAGGGCCTCCCGGTTGTGGCTCACTTCCCGCAGCTCCTGTGACAGGGTCTCAGACTGCTCCTGGATACGCAGGGCCTCGCGGGCCAAGGGTGCGGCCAGATTCTCCTCTGGAGGCTTCAAAGACCGTCCAGCTTTCTGCACTTCTTGGGCCAAAAAATCTGGAGAGAAAAGAGGAAGAAGAAGAGGCCCCAAACCTAGATTTGGTGTTTTAATCCACATTTTCCTCAGCCCAGCTCAGAAAAGGGCTTCAGCAGGTTCAGTGCAGCTCACCCAGCACTGGAATCCAGCAGCAGGATTTGTGCTTTGCATGCAGAAGGGCCGAAGGTGAATCCCTGCCAGCAGGGGGAAAAATCACCCAAAATCTGGAGAGCTGAGGCAAAGTTGGGCTGCCAATGTTAGGCTGAACCAGTGTTTTTCAAACTTAGCAACTTTTAGTTGCAAGGACTTCAACTCCCAGAATTCATGCTGGCGGGGCAAGACCACACATCTTACTCTTGCCAACTTTGAAAAACAATAGGTTGAACAAACCATGAGTAGATTCAGTATATTGCAAGTCCTGCTGACTGTGGGAATAGTGCCCAGGCTTAGCACCCAAAACATTATGCCAAACAGTTTGGAGGACTACATTCAGCCTGCTAGCTGATGAGTTGCACTGGCCTACCAAAGTTACAACCACAATCGTTCTCTCATTTTCAGTAATAAGATTTATGAAGGGAGTTTCCTACATGTTTCACTTCCTAAAACTCTCTGCCGTTTATATTTTTATTAAATTCTGAGCACTCTCCTACAGAAGAAAGGTATGAGTTTTTATAATCTGAGGACAACGAGTGTGATACAACCCCAGTTTTTTCTTCTGTCTACCTCTGGTACTAGTGACTACAAAATGGAGACTGGATACAGAATGTTTTCCTAAAAGAAAATTGTTTTCTTATTATATTTCTCTATGCTTTATTTTTTTCAGTTTTAAAAGTGGGTTATTTTCCCCAAATTAATCAGCAACATAATAAATGGATAAGGATGCCAATTCCAAATAAGAAACACAATAAAATGGATAGGCTGGCAATTCCAAATGTTTTTATGCCGCCATGCATGGAAATTTGTTATCAAGATTTGGTATATTTCAATATTTTTTCAACAGATCTAAGTGAGCTTTTAAAGAAAACTGCATGCTATTGAATTGTAAAAAGCAGCCTGCATGAGAAATTCCAACTACCATTTGCCAAGGACCAGAGGTTATAATTCAATTTAGAAAAGTTTCTGCTGAAAGTGTCTCATGATGTACTAATCTAATGTGTCTCTAATTATAAAAAGAGAGTCTTATGATTTGCTTTATTAATCATGGACAGCCTGATAACATGCCTGATATCATATAGCTAAACTCTAGAAGCCTAACTCAATTTCTGCCAGCCTATAAACTAACAAAACACTTTTCACCAATACAGCTGACATGTTACTGGCTTTACTTCACTTCTACTTTCCAAGTTTCATTGTCAACCCTGTGAAAATCCCATCAGCAGAAGGAAAGCCCCACCAAGTCTCCCAAAGCAGGTGTTACTCACTGAATGTTTTCTCCATTTCTTCACAACGCCGCAGTTCTCCCACAAAGCGCCGCTGGAAGGCACTGACATGAGGATTTAGCTGAAAATAAAAAAGGCTTATTCAGAAGCTTGTGAGGGTCTGGTTAAAGATAGAGCAGATGCTTTAGCCACCCCAGAACTAGGCACCAAAACTGGAATGTCTCTTTTTAAAACCCAATTTATTCTTACCTTCAATCTCTTCTATGCATTTGCAAGACACTTAACAAAACATGCAATCCCAAACTTTTTCCATAAATAAGGAGAGGGGTAGGATGTAGGAGATCATTTCTACACAGCCACTTCTCAAGTAAATGAAACTATCCATTATTCTTTCTGTTGCCTGCATATGACTATGTAATAATAATAATAATAATAATAATAATAATAATAATAATAATAATAATAATAATAATAATAATAATAATAATAATAATAATAAAGTTGGAAGGGACCTTGGAAGTCATCTAGTCCAACCCCCTGCTCAGGCAGGAAACCCTACACCATTTCGAACAGATGGCTATCCAGTCTCTTCTTAAAAACTTCCAGTGTTGGCGCATTCACCGCTTCTGGAGGCAGGTTGTTCCACTGGTTAATTGTTCTAACTGTCAGGAAGTTTCTCCTTAGTTCTAGGTTGCTTCTCTCCTTGATTAGTTTCCATCTGTTGCTTCTTGTCCTGCCTGCCCTTGTTTGATACCTAGGCACACACTATTTCTATCTCTTTTATTTGGTGGCCCCACAAGCTTTGTGTATATATAAAACAAACTTGAAAAGGGAGCCTCTCCTTTTGTAAGAACAGCAACTTCTTTGTAAGAAACCAACTTTGTAAGAAACCCATGGACTCATTGCTGTCTGTCTTGCAATCACCGAGCAATTAAAAGCCCCAACAGCTATAACTCCCTTAGTTTAGTCTTCCCACCAAGCAGCCCCCAAATCTTCCAGCACATACATCACGGAACTCCACGAGGCCTCGCTCTCCTAATTCGCTAACACAAGCATAGGATGAAGCCGACTGCAAGAAGAGCTGGGCCAAGCACATCTCCTCGCTGCGAAACATCGTCCCGTTTCCAGAAGAAACTGTAAGACAAAATGGCTGCATTAGTAGGCATTAATTCACCCAAACCTCCACCTATTTCTAAGGGAGGCTGGACATGGGTGGAGGGTCAGGGGTCTTTTTGATAGCTGTTGTCCTAAAAAGCACCAGTGACAAAAGAATAAGACTAGGAAATAGAGACAAAAGAGAGCGGTACAAAGACCAGGAGCGGGTGAGGAGCAGAGAACCCACCATCAGGAGAAATAGGCAAAATCAAAATGTTGATCCCATCAACTAGGGAGAGCTAAGTACTGTATCCCAACCAAAAGGTTGTGGATGCTGCCTGGCATTAGGACTGCATCAGTCAGGATTCGGTAGCTGCAGTGGCCTAAGGGAAAGGGGAACTGCTTACCTCTGGATACTCCAAATGCAAGAAAGCAGAAAACGAGTTTCTCCTTCAGGGGTCCAGCCAGACACAGCCCTAAATTAAATCTCTGCCATCCTGATGGCTTGTTGCAACTTGCTCCCTGGCTGACTCACGTGAGCCTTTTTTTCCAGCTGTAGGATTGCAACACAGTTTCCAGGACAGGCCACGACCACTCATTTCACAACGCGCCTCTGACTCAGGCTTCTCTATTGCTCATAATGGGATTAAAATATCCTGAGATGGCAGTTCTGGGACCCAGGTTGGAGAAAGCTGTAAAGAGATAATTTCAGCTGTTGGAGCAGACAGAGCATGTTGCCCATTTGGGGGAGGAGTGTGGGGGAGAGGAGGAGAAAAAGACAAGGCACAATAATCAATTAAGAACCAAAACATATTTCTCTAAATTTCATCCTCAGCGATCGTTGTTTGTCCTCAGCAATGAGAAAGTGACCTGTGTAGAAGATGGCTTGCTCTTGGCTTGCTCTGGTGATAGAGGTAACAAAGAGGAGCCCACAAGTCTAGGAAAACCACAGCATCTTGGCAACAACTGCAGAAACCACATCTAGAACCCTACAGGCTGGTTTGACTAGAAGCAAGTGGGTTATAATTAGAACAATGAATGACTTCAACATTACTCTTCTGCAGAACATAGAATATTCTAAATTACTGTAGGCCATTTCCAGCCATTTTCTCCAGCAAAAATGCACGTAAGAAAACCAGATATTGCCATTCTTTCAAAGTATCATATCCAAGCCTGCAGGTCCCATTACAAACATAAACTTATTAGGAGAATTACCGTGACTTTAGAATCATTCTTGGGCTACAACTGAAGTGAATAGGGCTTCTATTAAGGGCTGCATCACTATATTGGGGAAAGGGTTTTTGCTCTTTGAAGTCAGGAATAGGCACCTACTTTCATGCATTCAACAGTGCCAACCACCAAGCTGAAACTCCACCACCAAAAGCTGCATTACTGCATCTACATAGAGAGGGAGCCAAAAATCACTGTTCCATCCATTCGCATGGCAGAATACTGTGAGCCCCCAGGGATTGAGAAAAAAATCTGCACCCCCCCACCAAAAAAAAGATTGCAAATCTGACCATTTAAGAAGTAACTGCTTTAAGAAAGTTGATGTTTCAGAGTTGCAGCTTCTCTTCTCAATAATATGCAGCTACAATGGAGCATGCATCGGCTGTTTCCCCAATGCTCCAAATCAATCAGAATTACAAAAATCATGCTCCAGAGGGGATCTATTAATTGGCAGAGCAGTGGAGCCCTCCCAGCCTTATGGCCTTATGTCAAGTTTTGTACTGAGTTAGGGGATTGCATATTCTGTGTAATTTTGTGGTTTTCATTTTGCGCTAAAAATAACGCAAAGAATTTGTATTGATAACGCATTATTGCAAGGAGCTTTGCAATAGGTTTATTTCTTTATTTCTTAGATTTTTTTACCCCATCTTTATTACTTTTATAAATAACTCAAGGTGGCGAAGATACCTAATAATCTTTCCTCTTTTCCACACAACAACAACCGTGTGCGGTGAGTTGGGCTAAGAAAGAGTGACTGGCCCAAAGTCACCCACCCGGTTTTTATGCCCAAAGCAGGACTAGATCTCCCAGTCTCCTAGTTCCTAGGCCAGCATCTTCACCACTACACCAAAACTGGTTCTCATTAAACTCATTCAAAGTTAAATGACTAAGTCATCATGCTAGCTTTAGATTTAGCTAATATAGACATAATGGCATAGTTAAATAATACATACGGAAATTTTATTCTTTTTTTAAAAAAAATGTCAGTCAGCCTGGGTGCAATTTTTTTAATTATATCTGTCATTCTAATTTGGACCTCGGAATATAACTAAATTGAACTGTGTCTGAGAGAAGTATCTATTGAGAGATTTCTTGTTATCAGAATTACGCAAAACATTTGGACGGTATTTTATGAACATCAGTGTGAACAAAACACCCTTCCTTGATGTGTGCAGTGAACCTGATCTTCTGAGGAGCATGCACATGCAATGTTTTGCCAGCTATCACATACTGTACACATGCCCAGTTAACCTGGGAAAGTTTTCTTTAGAGCAATAGTTTTCTGCAAGTCATGGCTGCCTCGTTAATTTGAGGAAGGGCCTTTTTTCTCATTGGCATATTGTGCAAAAAAAAAAAACAACCTTCAAATATTGTGCGCAACCATGCTTTCTTTATGTGTTTTTAAATGGATTTTTAAAGAGTTCCTCTACTTACATGGAGAGGATGTCACTTAATGACCTATTTTATGACTTTGCACCACACACTGAACCAAAGATAGAAATGAAAAGGCTAGAGTCAGACAGCATCTCAGCTTGTTTGGGCTTCTGTTGTTGGCCAAATCCAGCCAGTGGAGAGCAAAGAAATCCAAAATAAATCCACTCATCACTTTAATGCAGGAAATCTTTCTAGTTATCATATAGACAAGAAAATACTATTCCCAACACCTAAATCTGATAAATGAGAGACCTTTTGAGAATCGCAGAACACCCTGAAAAAATGGAATGACAACCCATTTCTGTATTGCTGCCCCAAAATCTACACAGACATGCCCAGGACATCATCAGAATTTAGCAGACTTTGCTTTTAAAGTTTAACAGAAGAACAGAGTTGGATGGGACTTTGGAGGTCTTCTAGTCTAACCCCTGCTTAATATGGAAACTGTATACCATTTCAGACAAATGGCCATCCAATCTCTTCTTAAAACCTCCAGTGATGGAGCACCCACAGCTTCTGAAGGCAAACTGTTTCATTGATTAATTGTTCTCATTGTCAGGAATTTTTTCCTTATTTCTAGGTTGGTTCTCTTCTTGATTAGTTTCTATCCATTGCGTCTTGTCCTGCCTTCAGGTGCTTTGGAGAATAGATGACCCCCCCTCTTCTTTGTGGCAACTCTCAAATATTGGAACACTGCTATCATGTCACCTCTTGTCCTTCTTTTCATTAGACTAAATATTCCCAATTCCTGCAATTGTTCTTCATATATTTTAGCCTCCAGTCCCCTAATCATCTTTGTTACTCTTCTCTGCATTCTTTCTAGAGTCTGAACATTTTTTTTAATTGTGGTGACCAAAACTGGATGCAATATTCCAAGTATGGTCCTACCAAGATATTACAAAGCGATATTAACACCTCACATGATCCTAATTCTATCTCTCTGCTAATCTAGCCTAGAATTGCATTGACTTTTCTGGCGGTTGAAACACACTATTGTCTCATATTTAAGTGATCGTCCAATAGACTCCTAGATTCCTCTCATAGTTACTGCTATTGAGCCAGGTACCACCTATTCTATACCTGTGCACTTGGTTTTTCTTGCCTAATGTAAAACCTTACTTTTCTCACTACTGAATTTCATTTTGTTACATAGGGCCCAGTGTTCAAGTCCGTTGAGTTCCTTCTAGATCTTGAGTCTATTTTATGGACTGTTGACTATTCCAGCCAGCAATATCCTGTGCAAAGAAGACAACTAGAACAGGTGTTCACAAACCCATGGCCACGGACCAGTACTATTCTGTGACCTACTAGGAACTGGGCTGCAGAGCTGTAGGTGAGCAGCGGGCAGGTGAACAAAACTAAAACCACCCCATCTATGCAAAAATTGTCTTCCACAAAACTGGTCCCTAGTGCCAAAAAGGGTAGGGCAGTGATGGCGAACCTTTTAGAGACCGAATGCCCAAAAACTGCCCCCCCTGCTGCGCCCCCGCTTCGGCCCTACCCCATCCCCCATCCCACCTGCCCGCAGGGCCACTCACGCCTCCAGGGCCCACCGCAGATCACCCAGGCAGCCCAGCAGCGCTATGGTGGCCACGCCCTCTGCCCGCGCGATGGGGCATGAGGGCAGAGTCTTGTCTACGCTGCCTGGCTGCCATGTCCTTGGCTGCACTGCTTCGCGTGGGCCAGGCTCAGGGGTAACTCTCCTCCAAGGGGGTTGGTTAGGAGGGAGTCGTGGGGGGAGGCGAGGCTGGGGCAATAGCACGTGTGCCCACAGAGAGGGCTCCGAGTGCCGCCTCTGGCACACGTGCCATAGGTTCACCACCACTGGGTTAGGGATTGCTGAATTAGAAGATAATATTACAACCAAACATCTAACCACGCCCTATAGAAGTATGTTGTTGATCCCTCCTCAAAATATGAGATCCTTTAAAAAAAAACCCACAAATGTATTAGACAAATATAGAAGTGAAAACACGGCTAGGAGCCAAAGAAAGAAACAGCAGCTATCTTTTTCATCAAGGAGGCTTTTGAGAAAGTCATCATCCTCACATCTCAAAATGGAATGCTGATATAGCTTTATGTTAGTATGAATTAACAATAAATAATTTTGCTTCTCTTATGGATTGTGAAGCAGTTACAACAATGGAGGAATTTTTGTATTTGGCCTGAAAAGCTGCATCTGAACCAAGCTGATCTAGAAGCATGCTGTTATTAATTACTTTCCTGAGTCATCCAGTAAACTCTTGAAATAGAGGGTGATTCTGTATTACTGTACAGATGTCTTGCATTTCTATTCCCACAATCTCCAACCCATAGGACTATAATGAGAAAGGATCTGGTAGCTGAAATCCAGTATCTCTGAAGAACATCACAGCTTGGAGAGCGCGGCAAAGATCGCTTTAATTATAAGGAAGTGTGGGGGGGGGGGGTTTTCCAGCTCTCACGTGAGCTTTTCAAATTTTCCAAACATGGCACATGCACACACACACACACACACACACACACGCCAAAAATGAGTGGCCTTTCTGTAATCCAAACCGGAAGCATTTTTCTACAGTTCAGAAAAGGCGCGAGGGCGAGGGAGAAAGTACAGTTCTCAAAGAGAGCCCTAACTTCCGCACCTCTCGGAGAGACTGGAAATGGAAGACACAGTGGCGGATCTCCTCTGATCCAATTCCCCAAAAGACACGCCGGGGCCGAAAGATCGCTTCTGGCAGAAGCCGCTACCATTAAGTGGCTCTCCGTTCGCCCTACAACAGCCACACTCACCCCCTCCCGGCAAGCAGGTGGCCGCCGCAGCTCTGGAGTTGAGCGCCGTGATTGGTCTGCATAGAGGGCCCCGAAAGCGATTTTCCCTCCCCACCCCACAAGCGATGTAAATGTAAACAAGTGAGGTGCGGCTAGTTTTTAGACACATTGCAACAAAGGGAAGGCGGGGTGGAAGCTGGCTAGGTCTTGCAACAACTGAAGGAAAAGGAAGGCTGAACTCTCTAAACCCAAATGGCAGATCTTCAGAAGAGAGAAGGCAGCCCCGAGATCGGGCTCAGGTTGATGGAGGGAGTCGCTGGCGAGAGGCCAAACAAGCACTCACCTTGCGATGCCGTCACCGGAACAGCAGCCGGCTATCTTCGCCTCCCGGGCTGCCGATTGCTTCCTCTTTGCCATGAAGGCCCCGCCTGAAAGAAAGGCTGATCTGTCCCGCCCTGCGAAATCTCCCAGTGCGCAGCTCGAAGGCACTTCCTGCTGGTTATGGGAACAGAGAACGACCTCGGAGAGCAAAGCGAGCTCTGCTTCTCAAACGCCGTGGGAGAAGAATCAAACGAAAGCGAAATCTGTTTTCTTCTGCAGCTTCGTACTTTGCGCAGCCCGCGACGTGCACAATATTGTAGACGCTCCCGACTTTTCCCTTTGTCGACATGCTGTATACCGCGGAGGGTCAGTTGCGTCGTCAGAAAGTGCGAAGGTGTTATTAAGGATACTGAGATTTAGTTAGTTATTTCACAGGCCCTGACCATCAGAAGTAGATCGACTTTTATGGAGGCCAGCTTTTTTGATGAAGGGGAGGCCAGAGCAACAGCTTAACCGAGGAGAAACAATGTCATTGTAAAATCTGCAGGAAAAGCTACATGCGGATCTGTTGGCAATGCTTGCCAGCATCATGCTATTTACCATACTGCATTTTATATGCATGGCTGCCCAAAACAAGTGCTGTGTAAGGGTTACAGCCTTTTAGTTGAAAGCACCACATTTTTCTGCCCTATCTTCTTAATAGGTAAAGCAGTCCCATATCTATAACAACTGTATACATGTTTATTTTTGAGTTATTTCCTAGATTCTCTTTAGGAAGAGTACACTAACAATAATACAACTCTCTACATCTTTGCATTGGGATAAAGATGAGCCTTACAATTAGTTGTGCCATTGATTCATTTAACCTTGTGCCATCTCCAAGCCTTTATGTGTGTTGGAAGTCAGTACCCACCCACTCTCCTAGAGAAGGAAATGTTTTGAGGGATATTAAAAAAGGCAGAATATTATATTTCCCCCAAAGGAATAATTGGGGGGGATCTTAAAAGGCTTTTCTGCCCAAGTTTCCCCAGGCAGAAACTGAGCAGGCCAGCTCTGTAGAAATGCAGATTTGATAATCCTGTTCAGAAAGACAGCCTATTCATAAGCAAAATGCCTTCAGAGAAGCTTTGAGCTGATGGGATTAGGAAAACAAAAGACTCCCAAGGACAGAACATGACCTTTAGGACATAATAGGATTAACCTACCACCATTAGAATACCAAAAGCTAGGGTCAAAGTTCATTGCACAGGAACAGGAACAACTCCAAACACAAAAACCCAAGGAGGTATAAAAACACACCACCCCCAGCTCCATTTTGTCAGCCACCCCAGAAATATGCTGTATCACTGAAGATTCTAGCAACTAAATAAACAACCTTCTTTCCTAAGCAGTCTCCATTTTGTTTATTCCCAGCTTGGACTGGACGCTGATGAAGATTTTTCTTTCAACATGTGGATACAATTTTCCAGTAGTTTTCTAGCTTAAAAACAATGTAATAAAATACAAATCCAAACCAGTTAATACTACATTGAAACAAATGCAATCATAATATGTTTAAACTGCTTAAAACATTTTTTACAGGAAATGTAGGGTGCTGAACTGGAAACATCCTATATGGAAAAGACAAAGTCCTTTGGTAGATTTGCCAATATAATTATGTTTACAATTGCAAAATGAGAGCAAAGCCTAATTTTCTTAGCAGGCTGGGATTTCTGAACCAATTAGCAAAGATCCTCTGGCCTTCTAAATTCTAAATCTAGATATTTCTAGAGAAGTAAACCTTAATTAGAACACAATGCCTCTAGCTGCAGAACTTTCTGATACTGTATAATCATCTAGATGCAAAGTGAAAGCAAAACAAGAAAAAAGTTTACTATAATCGGTGTTGTTCTGTAGGTTAAAGAATAATGAATAATGAAAAATCAGAAGGGAAATATTCTTCCAATAAATTAATTTTAGTGGCTATGTTCATCATAAGCTGATTTTCTACTGAGAGCATATCATCTTGCTCTTTACAAAAAAGTCCAATATTATTTTGATCAAAAATTAAGTCCAAGATGCACCTGAAGAGTACTGTAGAAATATGACTGTAATTACCACTACCTGGACTTCATGAATGTACAGCCCACCATCAATCTATGGATTATGTTGTTAAGTATGCCCCAGAACCTGCTACAAAATTTAAATTGTTAAACCACTTTCAAACAGCAGCTATCGTGTTTCAAATTCAAAATAGAGATGAATGGTCTCATTCTAAAAAGTAATATCACTACTGATATCAAAAGATAAAATTTCTACAAAATAAAGTAAATGATAATAAAGTGAAATTCAATAAAGTAACATTTTTCTAGAACATTGTTCAAATATAAAATTGCAATTCAGCATCCATATATTATATTGCAGGTTTGAGAAAGCTACCCAAGTCAAAAGAATACCATCATATTTAAAGAACAGTGTAAAACCAACCCAACAATTCAAGGCAAGAGGGTTTCCTGAAGAAAATGCTCATATGTGAAGAGCAAAACAACAAACAAATAAAGATTACAAACTCTGGAAAATAACAAGGCCTATAAGAACAAAAATAAGAAAAACAAGGGACTTCCGGTGGTGATGTCGGGGTGGTGCAGGGGAAAGAGGACAGTCTCCGTCCTCTAACTCTGATTTTTTTCACATTTGGAGACCCTTCGGGGGCGCAGAAAGCCTGGAGGGCTACGCGCGAAAAGGGTGAAGCCTTGGGGAGTAGTGAGGTGAGAGGCAATCACCCACTACAATGAAGGAAACCCCTTAAATTCAATGTGAAAACATCTACTATCGTCAGATGGCGGATTCGAGGCCGTGACAAACCACAGAGGATGCGGAAGCAAAGATATACTTAATAGACTGTGTCATTGAGTGAGTTAAAAAAAATATGAAAATATTCTAAAGTAATAGAAAAATCTAAAAGATTTACTTGTCTGTTAGTTTTGGTGTTGGAAGGAAGCTCACTGGAGAGGGAATCTTTAACGCAAGTGGCGACCCGGCGCGAAGAGCTGTGAGTCAGCAAATTAAAAACAGCCAGAGGATTATCAGGAGGGAGACAAAAAAAAGTCTTGTGGTGAACGTTTTAGTGCAGAACGAAGAAGAAGGTGGAAGATTGAGGAAGGAGAGGTCGAGAGACGGGAGACAGAGACGGAGAAGACGGCGGAGTGACTAGGACGAGAGACGTGAAAGGAGACGATTGGCAAGCAGACAGCCGGAAATGGCAGAGAAAATGGCGATTTAAGAAAGACGGAGAAGTAGCGCGCCATAGAAGATTGGAGAAAGTGAGTTCGGAGGAGAAAGGAGGAGATAGTTTTGGACACGCAGAGAATCCGGAAAAGTAAAGGAAACGGCAGAGGACGAGACACGGGGGTGAAAGTGATAGGAACAGATAGACGGACAGATGGTTGATCTTCATCAACCATCTGTCCGTCTATCTGTTCCTATCACTTTCACCCCCGTGTCTCGTCCTCTGGAGTCCTAGAGAGTCCGTGTATCAAACTCGGAGAAGCAGCACATCATAGAAGATTGGAGAAAGTGAGGTCGGAGGAGAACGGAGGAGATACATTTGGGAAGTGCAGAAAGTTTGGAAACTGAAGGAGATGGCGAGAGGACGTGATATGGTGGTGAGGGACAGGAACGGATATACAGACAGAAGGTTGACGATATAAGATAGGAGAAGAAATCTGGAGTCCTAGAGAGACTGTGTGTCAAGTAAGAAAGAGAAAAGAAAGTGAAGAGGGTTGGAGAAGGAGAAGAGAGATCTGGGGATATAGTGAAAGTAGATGTAGATTTAGAAAAGGAGAGAAAGAAGAATTGTAAGTCTAGAATAAAAGTGTAAAGTTAGATAGGTTGTTGGCTAAATAAAGAGATATTAAGAATAGAAAGTATTTGAGAAATAGGATATTAAAATGACAACATTGAGAACAGGGGAAAAAACAATATCAAGTCTAGCATTGACACCTTCATCCCCACCAGGGCAGAGAACAATAGAAGGAATGTTGGGGACCAAAAAACAAAGTGTAATGTCAAATATGCAAACCATGCAGACAACACTACTAACTATTCAGGAAACGATGCTAAAAATGCAGGAGACAATGTCTAAGAATCACATAGAAATGAGAGGGGATATGAATAAATTAGACAATAAGATTGAAACGATACAACAAACAATTGAGAAAAATGAAGAAAGAATTCAGACAGTAGAAGTAGGATTGGATAAAATAGGGGAAAAAGTTGATACAGTAGATAAAAAATTGATGGGAATCAACAAAAAAATGGAAGAATCGATCATACATTTGGAAATGGACAGGGCGGCATTCTATCTAAGATTTCAAAACATGGTGGAAGATAAGGAAGAGGATTTGGGTGCTATTATGGTAGAGCTGATAGCTGAAGCTCTACAAAGGGATAAGCAAGAGGTATTATTAGAGATAGACGAGGTGTACCGAATCCATACGAACTATGCCCGACGTAATAGACTCCCAAGAGAAGTACATATAAGATTCGCCAGAAAAAAAGTTAGAGACATAATATACAAGATTACAAGAGAAGATCCAATGATCTACAAAGGCATAGAAATACAAACATTAAAACAAGTCCCAAAGAAAGTGAGAGAACAGAGAAGGGATTATAGATTTCTCAGTGCACATCTAATTAAAAGAAGCATACCCTTTAGACGGTTAATCCCAGAGGGGATGTTGATAACATGGCAGGAGAGAAAGATTAAAATAGATAGCTTAGACAAGGCAAGAGAATTCTATGAACAGATAGAAGGGGAGGAAGAAGAGAATAGTAGCAAAGAAGAATCAGAATTAAAATCTAGAAGTCAGGAAGACCAGCAACAGGAGTTAAAAGAAAGAGAAAGAGAGATAGAAAGTAAGGAGGTAAAAAGACAAAGGAAAGAAAGAGGAGTAGGTTTGAGAACAAGACAAACACACAAGTAAAATAATGGAAGAGGAGATTAGATTAATATCAATCAATGTCAATAGATTAAATGTGCCAGCTAAAAGAAAACAAATATTAACAAAATTAGTAAAACAAGGTGTAGATGTAGCTTGTCTACAAGAAGTACACAT